TTCCAATTTCCATCGCCCGGTTTTCGCCATTTTTGGGGGAAAAAATTCTTGTGCAATCATGTGATGTACTAAAGTTATATACCACTGTATAAAAAATGGTTTTAAAACATCGTATTCGATCTTTCTATACATCAATAGATTGAGCAGATTCCTATATTATTGATACGGGTTTTGTTTTTTTGTTCCCATCAAATAAAGAGTTGTACGGAAAAAGTCAATTTATCGACTCTATGCAGGGTTGTTTATTATGCGTTTTTTTTTTGCCGACGCCGATAGATATTGACTGGACAAAACCCGGATTTAGATAGCTCAAAATCCTTTCCAAATTGATAAAGTTTTTTTTAAATTCATTTCCATAACGGCTGCACACGGGCTTAAAGTTTGATAATTTTGAGGTGTATTAGGAGCACGGCGATGTTCTTTATTTGTTTTTCGCAGTGGATATCAAGATATCGACAGGACAAAAAAGTTTTAGTTGAAAGAAAAACTTGAGCTTTCTAATTGTGTATTTAACATTCCACTATCTCTAAAAACACCGACGATATCGGGTTGTAAAGTAGATAGAAAAACAAGGGTAATCAGTGCTATGTTACAAAAGACATTGTCGGTAAATAATTTGGAAAAACTGCCCCAATTTGACACAAAGACTTTTTGTGTAGGAATACGTTAAAGCTGAGGTGTACAAAGTTCGACCTCGAACACTTGAAGCTCTCAAGGTGGCGATTGAGAACGAAATCGCTGGAATTTCGCAAGATAGCGTGGCAGAAAACTTCTTTGAAAGGCGCAATATGTTCAGTGCCCGTTGAGGCCGCCGCTTCGACGATATTATTTTGAAAACATCGTGGAAAAAGATACGGTATTATATGTACTTTTGAGCAATTAAACCTTTTTTATGTCTCTTCAAATCAGGAATTACATTTTGCCCCATCCTGTTGGTGAACAAATGTGTTCAACAAAAATCAGACGTTACATGAAACAATACCTCCTCAAAAAATTCTATAAATGAGGTTTCAAGCTATTTGTCCTTGCAGTATGATATGAGAACGATTCTCAACGTCATTTGATGCGCTAAGCGCAAATATTCAATCCGTGTCTTAAACCGACACTCTGCGTTTTGGGAAAACGGTAAAAATTTTGTAGAATATTCAAGTTTAAGTTGGTAGTATTGGCATTTGACAACCATAACCCAACCTAAAACCGGACATCACTTCAATAATATTCAAAATGTTGTGATTGTAGTTAAAAATTGGTGAAAACGTAGAAGCAGTTTTGTAAAGTAATGTTTTTGCTGCGTATGCGGAAGGTACATGCTCGGTAAAAGTGGCAAAATCATAACAAGTGCGCTAAAACACACGCATTTGCATTACTTTAGCCGAAATTGTTTTGCAATGCGTACAGAACAAAGCTGTACAAGTGGTCAAGGGATCTTGATGAAAAAGTGCACTTTTCATTTTCATTGCCAATGCTACGAAGATAACCAAAAAAGTTCTGCTTTTGTTTACTTAGCATTCGTCGGTGTTAATACAAAAAAATTAGTACAATACAAACATCATAATGTATCATCACGATCCAAGCCAGTACCACATACAAGTAGTGACCGATTGCCAGTGTGTCCAGGTGTGAGTGAAAATATCCAACATAGCGACTACATCTCCGTCAACCAGTGATAGTGGTGATTTCGTCATGGAAGGAAACCATTTAATAACGCAACGTGAACTGTGTGATTTGATCCGTGATTTGAGCTTATCGAAACAAAAGACAGAGTTACACCTTGTAAATCCACAAGACATACTCCTGCCACATCGTTCCATCAAACTTGGCCTTATTAAAAACTTCGTCAAAGCGTTCCATCGCAAAAATCAAAGAAGGAACATTTGTCGGAAACTTTACAAAATGTTTAACGCCCGATGAAGCGGCAACATGGGTATCATTTCAAAAGAATAGGATTTTATAAGGGATTTTAAAGAAATAATCCCCAATTTATTGCAAAATTAACGCAGGATTGGAGCTCGAATGTCTCTCAAGATTCATTTTCTGTATTCTCATCCTGATTTTTTTCCTGAAAACTTAGGCGATACAAGCAACGAGCAAGGAGACCGGTTACATAAAGATACGGCGAAAATCGAGGGACTTCACCAACGATTTAGTATGAAGGGATGATGAGCAACTACTATTGGACTTTAATACTTGAAACGGATTCTAAAAGATACAAACGACTCAAAAAAAAATCAATCTTAAAAACTAGATTGTAAATTCTAAGTCAACATCCCTAATCACCTTAGAAAACACATTTGGTTATTCAAGTTGAAAACCTTATATACTTGTATTATTATACGTCCCTACAATTTATCTAGAAAAAAATAGCATCTACTTATTAAGGACTGTCTAAAGAAGAAAACTGCCTAATTGCAAACTATTCACGAATATAGAGATGAAAAAAAATAAAAAAAAGGTGAAAGCTCTGAATTTGTAGCAAATGTTGTCTGATATGCTGTCGGAAAACATCAAAAATAATGTGTTCATTGTAAAGCATTTTGATACTTCAGATAGAGTGCCCAGATGAATTTGTGATTGCAGAATACAACAAGCATATAACTGGAGTGGATCTAATAGACTGTATCATGGGAAGATGTAAAATATTATGGATAAGCCGAAAATGGTACATTAGACTGTTTTATCAGTTTCTAAATTTATATGTTATAAATGCATAAGAAGAGTAGAGACTGCTAGGAAACGAAAACTGTTGCAGAGTCTCTCTTGTCTGCAACATGCAATTAAGGGCTAAAACCTGGCTTTTAAAACGAGGCTAATGTGGTAAATCTATAACTTCGCCCGATTGCGGTGGAAATGATATTCATCCATAACTAACTAACACGTATTGCAACACCTTGGTTGCAAGCGATGTTAATTAAATTTGAACCGACAGGGGAAATGGGATTGTGCTTATTAAGCCGAGATCGCTTGCAGACGAAACGCTGCAATTCATACAACACCAAGCGCATTCAACCTTGGTTAAACATAGGTTTGGGTGGATACTATACTAATTGCGGCGTCTTGGATGTAAACGACCTCACCAGTCGTTTAGCCGAGGTCTTAACTCGACTTATTCAGGCAAATTTTGAAATCTGAATTCTGGTCTGAGATTAGCAGAGACCACTTACCACAGAGGTGTACCGAACATGTTAACCAAACTTGGATCGCAAAGATGTTATTGCAATGCCTCAGCGAAAAGCGACCTCCGACCTCCGTTCAATTTAGATCTCGGCTTATTTAAGCAAAATGTGATATTCTCTGCTTGCAACTGAAGCACTACAGAAATGTTAATCAGATTTGAATCGATAAGGTGTTGATTACAGGTGTTATAGCGGAAATACTATGCAGTATACATTGAAAATTTTGGATTAATTCCAACGCCTTGGACACGAATGATCTCAGCTTGTTCAGGCAGAATTTGATTTTTTCTGCTCTGAGATTAGCAGAGGTAGCTTTTGACTGAGGCGTTACAGAAATAGTTACCAGACTTGGAACAATAGGATATTAATTGCTATGCCTTGGCCGCAAGCGATCTTGTCTAAATTATGATGGAGACCTGCAGTATACATTAACTAGTTTTGGGTGGATTTAACATTAATAGCAGCGAATTGGCCGTGACTATACTTAGCACGGAAAATCTATGCAGTATGCATTGACTAGTTGTGGGTGGATTTGGTATTAATACGTTATTATAAGTTAACCAGATTTGGATCGATAAGGTGTTAATTGCAACGCCATATCCATCCCTATCTATATCCACCTACTCTTAGTTCGTACAAATCGCAACTGATTGATTTTTATTAAAAAAAGATAGGATAGTTTTCTGTTAAACATTTATAAAATTGATGTGTTATTCAGTAACTATACTAGTAAAGTACTACATACACAGTATAACAGTACTTTTGACCACAGAGAGTCACAGGGATGCAATAAAGCAAGATAGAAATGTGAAATCAGGGTTGATAGCGTGCAACAGCTGCAATTTGTAACACTTAAAAAACTCTTTCACTTATCGATGGCCTACGAGAACGGGGTTTGTCCAACAAGCTGCCGATATCTTTCAGCTGCTTATCCCACCGATTAATGTTATTCCTATATGGCGGTGTTTCGTTGTACACGCGACAATAATCACGTTGCACTTTGGTCACGGATTCGAATGAACCATCCTCTGTAACGTTCAAATTTCGACTGGCGTGGGCTGATCCGCTGGTGCACAGTTCATGGCGTTGCCTCTTCACATCATATTACGAAAACTGGGAGTGTTTTTCTTTCATTTGGTGATGATTTCACATGGCTACCTTGCTTTGTTGCTCTCCTGTGACCAGTTAAAAATGCACCAGGACTTTATGGACACACTCTCTTCAATTGACGTTTACTATTCTTGACAGTAATTAATGTCGAATAACGTGCATTACTTTAAGCAAATTCTATCGCAAAACGAAATGGAACCGGCATAGAAATCGCCTGAGCTTAGTCAGTTTTTCTTTGTTCAGAAATCGTGTAAATTTCTAAACATCGAGGTGTTATAGAAACCAAGGTAGATAAAAACTACATCAATAACAATTAGTGGAGCATTGTCAAAGATGTCAAACAATATTGAATACGTATAAAATGTAAAGAAGTGTTCTGCATTCCCTCAGTTATTAAACTGTTGATTATTGTATCTGTTGATGCTGATGTGGCAGCATTTGTCATTATTTTGGAAACAAGTCGATTTTTATGTCTGACTACAACTACTATAGGAGATATTATTGTTCTGTATTTGGGCAAAATAATGGAGAAACTTGTGTACTCTAAGATTATCTAAGGTTTCAGAGTACTTGACATTAATAATCTCACAGAGAAGGTCCGACGCTGTTTAGTACAACCTTTGTAACTATGTACAATCATCAAGCAATTGTATAGTTTTTTGAGCAATATCAATGAAAAATAAACTACGTCATTTTAGTGAGTCAAAGAAAAATTACCAATCCCAGACGTTTGAGATCCCGATATCTACAATTATCATCGCAACAAATCCCTTGAGATGGATGACATTGAACATTATATTCTTTTACATTACACATTCTAGGAAGACTTCGTGGAACGCAACATTTATCGGATAACAGACAATGAGTTGTTGAACCACAATCACATTCTTCCCCTTCTTCGACAATCCCTATAATTCAAAGTACATTAATTAATCAATAAATAACTAAAAATTGTTATAAACTAACCATTTCCACAAAAAGATTTTAAACTATCCTTTAAACAATGCCCTTGTTTTCTTAAAATGGTAGAAATACTTAATTTTGAACAAGATGAAAACTCTAAATTTTCAGCTTTTCTAGGAATCCCCGCTTTGGGTTGCATGATTCGATCTGGCTCGCATTCTTCGTCGTCGTGATCACTTCCAAAGGCATGCGCCAATTCGTGAGCTAAATTTAGTTCAGCTAAAGAGGAAGGCATAACGGATCCGTCGTTTAATCTATGCGTAATAGCCAAGGTGTTTAATGAAAATCCTAAATCGATGTATGAAGCGCAAATTCCCGCTAATTTTCTTCGATCAAAAACGCTTTTTGATGGTGTGAAGCTAACGCCTAAGAATCGTTTTTGAAAAGGTTGCGCAGTAAAAAGAATCGCCAAACAATAAAGTTTTAATGGTTCTAAAGTTGTAAAGGCTTTCAAAAGGATTTTTGGATTAACATGTTGGTCTATCGGAGTTTCTATTATGCTACCAACTCCGGCAGATTTGCTAGATAAAATTAAAACGGTTTTTAATTCAACTCCAATATCGTCTGGAATACCATCGCCGTCAAAATCTGCACTTCGCAAGATTGAGTTTGCTTCGTCTAAATTTAGAATCATTCTTGGTAATGCTACATCCACAATACCTTTTCCGATCACTTGTACAAACGAATTATCGATTGCTGCCACTAAAGTACAAGTTTTTCTTGTTACACGAAAAAATTTTCCGTAATGCGGATTCATAGGTAACGAAAAATAACCAAATTTTGAAGTCATATCAGTATTAACTTCGTATCTAGTAACATTATTAGAAGCAGGCGCCAAAAAAACAACAGCATCATAATCGTTTAAGAAACGGCCCTCAAATTTGCGATAAAATCGAATTGGCTCCACACAATAAATTTCACTATCCACAAAAACTTTTCCAAAAAAGCGATTCTTACATAAATATCCTTTAACGTAACTATCTCCTTCATAATTCATTACGTATCCACTTGTTAAATTTAAATTATCGACGAATTTAAAATTTTCCGTGTAATTCAAGTACTGCATAATTATTTCAGTTTGATCACTCAATAATCCGGTGTTAGTAACGTTATAGTGGTTTATACATATAACATACGGTTTATTTCGAATTTGTAAACGAAAATTTCTACAAGAAATTGAAGAATTTGCCTCGTTGACTAACGTTGATTGCGCAACGTATTGATCGAAATCCAATTTAAATGTGTTTGAACTAAAAACCATTCTTTGTGAATGAACTATTTGAAGAATTTGTGATAAAGAATAAATCCAAAACAGTAATTTTTCCATTATGATTAATTTTGACTATTTGAAAGATTTGAAATATATCAATTAGAGTTTCCTGTAATCACGAATCAGTACAATTTTAAAAATCACCAATAGATGACCTTAATATTAACAGGCTTTAATTTGGAAAAAGTGTTTCTTAAACTGGAGAGGAAAGGCTCTCATTGTATAGATGGATTAGTAGATATGAAAAACCCTCCAGGAAGTCTTCGTAGTTGTCCGTAAAGCAGTTCTGCTGAGGAACAACCAAGATCTTCCTTAAGAGATGTTCTTAATCCTAATAGGATGAGGGGATGTGTGTATTTGTCGTGTGCCAAGTAATGTATTAAATTTTGTATACCCAAACGACTAGTAAAGCCGAAAAAGTGTGTTCGCTGTAGTAGATGTGATATCTTTTAGCGGAAACGCTTCTGGCCATCCAGTGAAGCGTTCGATAACTGTAAGTACATACCTAGGGACAGAGTGAGTGGTCCAATCAAGTCGATATGTATATGATCAAATTTAATTTTAGGAATTTTGATGTTGATGATTGGTGATTTTGTATGTTTTTGGATCATTGCTTGTTGACATTTAAAGCAGACTTTGGTCCAAACATGAATTTGCTTTGACATGTGTGGCCAAAAGAATTTTGTTTCGATTGCATGAATGGTGGAACGTATAACGGGATGAGATAAGCTATGAATTTTGTCGAAAATTGCTTGTCTGAACTGTTGTGGAATATAAATTCTTGGAAATGATGAACAGGTTTCACACCACAGTTTGATATTAGATTGTGATGTTGTTTGATGTGCTAAACGATAAAATTTTGAAGGTTTGTTGGAAAATTGTTTATTCAGTAAGTTTGACAATTCTGTGTTAGCAAGTTGAGCGTTGCTAAGGGTTAGAAAATCTGGATAAGATAAATTTAGAGATCCGATGTCTGTTCTGGATAGAGTTTCTGCGACAACATTTGAATTTCCTCCGATGTATTTGATATCTGAAGTAAATTGTGCAATATAGGATAGACATCGGCTTTAACGAGGAGTTTTGTCTGTGGACGAAAAAAATTATATCACAATGGGTTTGTGATCTGTATACAGGGTGTCTCAGCGAGACCGGTCATTAGACGTTTCTGGGGTTTTGGTCAAAATAGAAATTTGAGAATTCAGACTTAAGTATAATCAATTGCGTTCTCTTCGACTAAAATATTTTCAGACTTCCGGTTATACCGGAAGTCGCCACCTATTGTGGGCCTATGTGTGCAAGATTGCGAAAACTATTCTATGTTTTCAAGAAACTGCGTGAAATTCTACCGATTAGTTCTCTTAAAGTGGTTTATTACGCCTTAGTCCAATCTTTGTTGATATACGGTATCTTAGCTTGGGGAGATGCCTCGAGTTGCCCAGAGAACTATTTTAAAAATTATGACATATAAACCGAGCGACTTCCCATTGGAGGTGCTGTTTGAACTCACTGAGGTTTTTAATGTTAGGCAACTTTATACAATCGAGATTGTTAAATTTATTATCAACAATCTACCACTGCTGGAATTTCCGGGGCACACTTACTCTACTAGAAATGTTTCTAATAGTCTGGCAAGACCTATTAAGGGGGGAAACCACATTAGAAGGTTCAATCCAAGAATACGATGTCAAAATTACAAACCGAAATTCGCATTCCTTTAGATTTTATGAGCATGGAACCGAGCGGTCTGCCGTAGCCTATACTAGAGATGTGCGCGTTAGTGATTTTTTATGCCCGCTCACGATCTATACCACGCGGGTCACGCATACCACTTACGTGAACATATGAATCAGGTGACTCACGCGTGATTGACTTGTGACATCATTAGCGAAAAAGCTCAGCACTTACTATGGACTAGCGATTCGAAGACATACATCGATAGTGTAGAAAATATGAAAACAGCGATTATGACTACATACTATCATATGATATCCACCGATGAAAATCCTCGAACGAGTGTTGCCCATAGGGAGAAGACAGCTGGTGCGTGTGGCAGAAACGAACAGCTCTTGGTATGGAGCTTGCACCGCATCCTACTCCATTGCATCCCAACATACAGCAAGAAATTCTGCATATATATGAAGATTTATCAAGGGATGAATTACTGGAAAGATGTTTAGGTGGCCACACGCGAAACGCAAATGAAAGCTTTAATTTCACAATTTGGCGATTAGTTCCTAAACATTTGCACTCCGGACTAAAAGTCATCGAATTGGCATCGTACTTAGCCGCGGGCTTATTCAATGCAGGAAATTCATCCCTTCTGATGATCATGAACGAAGCAGGAATTGTAGTAGGTACGCAAAGCTTCCAGTACGCTGAACAAATAGATAACCAGCGCGTGGGTCGATAGAATCGACGTAGTTCATTGAAGTCGAAGGAAGGTCGGGAAGCTCGAAAAGCACTGTTGCAGGCGCAAAATGAAGCCTATGAGGAAGAAGAAGGACTAATGTATGGTGCTGGAATCGCGGATTAATCGGTGACTACTTATATCATTGTTAACTTTTCTAAATTTCTAGTTTTCAAGACTTTTTTTCAAACGCGTTTTTCTCAAAATGACTTTTTTCACATTTGCGGGAACTCAAAAAATAATGAACCAATCATTATGAAAATTGATAGTATGATTCTTTATGAAATTACGAAATATATGAACCAACTTTTGAGATGATATCATGATTTTAAGAGAGTTTTTTTTTGTATAATTAGTAAAAAAAAAGTGAAATTTTAAGTAAATTTTTCCAATACCTGCCAAATTTTTAATTTTCGTTACATTTACCTGCATTGAGGTTCATATTCTTAGAAAATAAGTTATTAACTTAAAATGAAAAGCTTTTCGATATCAGATGAAAATTGAAATGGCTACACGTCCCGCAATTGGAGCAACTTTGTTATTTTTCTATAAAATTATTCAAAAAAATTCACAAAAGTTGTTCGAAATATAAACAAAATAGTATCAAAATTGGATTAAATTCTAATCAATTCTTCCCACCCAAAAAAATCCTAAAAAATCAATGAAAATGAGCCTCCTAATGTGGTTTCCCCCCTTAAGCATTTTAAAGAACACACAGAAAAATCTTTTATTTGTCATGCATATAGAATTTACAATAGCTTCACTGGATTTCTCTCGGCAACTGATAGGAGTGTAACTCGTACAAACTTGAACTATCTCATAATATTATGGATAAAGTCAATTACAGACGAACAATTAACTAATCTGTACTTAGCCGTTACTTGATGTCTTTATTTGCTTCTTTTTTTCATATCTGAACATATACTATAACTGTGAATACTATGCATACTACAATACTGTGAATACTACATATACTACTCTTGTGGTTTATCCGTTCACGCCTAGCGGACGCCTTTATTCGTTTAAATGATCTATGTATGATTTCTGTAATGGACTAAGCATCAATAAAGGATTTTTATTTTTTTTTTTTTAATTTATTGTATCTTTTTAAATGGAACACCTGTATATTTTTACATATTTGGATTTGCCTGTTTTCAAGGTTTATAAATAACTTTACTTTTTGCCATTTGATTCGGCCGTTCTCGTGTTATTCGAATATTTCTAGAAAAATCTGAGCCAGCAGACATTTTTTCAAAAAATCAGAGAACACTCGATTTTTGAGATATCAATTTAGAATTCATAACATGCCTAAGGAATATGATGGAGTATGTTTTGGTGCCGAGAACGGCCGTCTAGAACGTTTTGTCACTTTACTATAGCACGTTAACTTTTCGAAATTTGGAAGTATCATAACTTAATTTTTTTAAATAGCACACCCCATATTTTATTATTTAGTCGTCTTCGGTGTCTCATTCTACATCTTTTATATCCTTTAAAAATACACACATATCATATGGATATTTAGCCTAGTGTGCCATGGAAAACAAGCATTCTCAATGAGTTCTTGTCAAAGACTCACTTGTTTACGTCACTTGATGAATGTGAGCTAATAATTATCTGTTAGGTCCCTTAATATTAGTACTAAAAAGAGTTAAAATCGATATCAATAACGAAAATAGTATTTACACAAATCAAGAAATTCTTAATTTATTTTTTGTACATGAAAAGTGCGACAAAGTTCGTGATATGATTCTCAGATCTTCTTTGACAGCTCGAATTGTGGTGTTGGAACTGGGCTCGAAATAAGCCAAGGCATTCACCTCTTCCGCTGCATTATCTACTACATTTTTTGGTCAGTTTAACACGTGATTAATTCGTCCAAAATGCAAAAAATTTGCTTCTTCTGAATTTACTTCTGAATCATTGGAGGTAAATGTGGATAGTTTTCATTAAACATTCTGCAAGTTTTACTAACAAGGGGACCTTACGGGTTCGTCATCACCGATTTTGTTCATATTTATAGGGATTGAAGATCAGTACTCGGACATCATTTTCCTGAAGCAGTTCGATCCCATGCTGGAAAATATCCGAGAAAATCGATTTCAAAATTTTCAAAATATTTCGCAACAATAGAAAAGCGGTAAATTGTATCTTCGTTTATAATGTCGATTAGCCGAGCGGTGTGAGTGGGGCTTTGGATGCCCAAGGTCGCAGGTTCAATCCTTGCTGTTCGCTTTACTTTTTTTTATTTTTTCATTATTGATGATAATCATTATTTTTAATGATTATTAACAAATATTAAATAAATTCAAAAATAATATTAAAAATAATAGCACAATGTCATCTGTTCATTGTCAAACCAAATAATCCAGATTACGCATACGGATGGCATAGTGATGACAAAATAATTTATTTATTGTTAGGAGTATTATATAATATGAAATATATTAACAATACGAATAATATACGAACCGCCGTTCCGATCAAAACACGTTTCTCACGTGTACTTACCAATAGATTCGACACGGGAAGAGAAATAAACTTTTTCGGTGAATCAAAGTCGTCCGCTATTGGACAATAGCGGATGACTTTAAACAGTTCCCGTGCGGTTATTATAAACATTTCGAAAAAAATTTATTAGAAAGATCGCTTCAGAAAATGTATCCTACAACCGTATAATGCTCTGATGCAGAAGATACCGGGCACCTGTATATAGATATAACAATAAATTATAATAACAACAGATTACTATTTTTAATCAATATTACATGAACTGCCCATGCCCTGCTGTTAACCGTATCAGATTCTCGATTTTTGGGTGGCAGTTTATCTCCCCAAAGGATTTGAATGACCTTTTATCGAGCAAGGTATTAATGTTCGTTAAGAGCATTGGACTGCACGGTAAAATTTGATAACAATATCTATCGGGGTGCAATAGATCCTTAGGTATCTATACCTTGCTTCGCGAGGTTGGTTAGTCCGCTTATCCCATATGTAATCTATGTAATGTAATGTAATATATATTGTTATTATCGTATTGTTCGTATATTATTCGTATTGTTAATATATTTCATATTATATAATACTCCTAACAATAAATAAATTATTTTGTCATCACTATGCCATCCGTATGGGTGATCTGGATTATTTATTTGGTTTGACAATGAACAGATGACATTATGCTATTGATTTTAATATTATTTTTGAATTTATTTAATATTTGTTAATAATCATTAAAAATAATGATTATCATCAATAATGAAAAAATAAAAAAAAATAAAGCGAACAACAAGGATTGAACCTGCGACCTTGGGCATCCAAAGCCCCACTCACGCCACTCGGCTAATCGGCATTATGAACGATGCTACAATTTACCGCATTTCTATTGTTGCGAAATATTTTGAAAATTTTGAAATCGATTTTCTCGGATATTTTCCAGCATGGGATCGAACTGCTTCAGGAAAATGATGTCCGAGTACTGATCTTCAATCCCTATGAATATGAACAAAATCGGTGATGACGAACCCGTAAGGTCCCCTCGTAAGAACTTTGTCCCACTTTCCGTACATACATAAAAGTAAATTAAGAATTTCTTCATTTGTATAAACATTAATCCTTGCAATACCATGACTATCCTATTATATCTCTTTATTTGATGAAGTTGGATGCTCCATACATAAAATATATTCGAGACGTATTATATGACTATTTTTTGTCTATTATTTCGGGTTTCAATGATATGCTCACGGATAGTAAAAAAGTTCTTCTTTAGATGTTGATACAAGTTTTAAATGCCAAGAAACGTTAAGACCACGATAAATTAAAAAGCAATTCTCTTATGAATGCGAAGATCAACCCGTACAGAATGAAGAAGTAAGCTTTAAAGTGAACTCTTTTTTTGAAATGTTAGACGTCGCAATATCGTCCTTAAGTGAAAGGTTTGAGCTGCTATCTCAACATTCAGAAATAATTAATTTTTGATGGAATCTCTCCGAATTCAATAAATATCCTCAAGAAGACCAGCTCAATCTTTGTCAAAAACTTGAAACAGCATTAAGTGACAAAAATAACATATGCGACATAAATGGAATTGATCTTATACATGAACTACAGATTTTGCAGAGCTTTGGGGACAGTCTTACATCGCCCGTTAAAGCTTCAAATTATATAGTTGATAACAATCTAACCCATTCATTTCCTAGTATCTATATGTATTTCTCTATGGATTTTGTTAACAATTCCAGTCTCAATTGCTACAGCAGACAGACATGTCTGCGAGTGACATTTTACAAAAATTAGATATAGATTTAATAATACGGCAATTTGCTAAAAATAAAGCCAGAAAAGCTCAGTTTTTGTAAGATGCATTTCAATATACGCATTTTCTTATAAATTTTTGCCGATAGCGACCATTTATTGGAATTGTTTCCTTATCGACTAATTTCTTATTCTTAACATCAACCAAGATACTGCATTAGGATAGGAAATCAGCACCAATTATTGGTTTACTAACGTTTTTTAGAACAATTTTGTATATCACACTTTGTGTGGTATGGCACACTACAGTATTGACGAAAATCTAAATTAAATGTGTTTGAACTAAAAACCATTCTTTGTAAATAAACTATTTAAAGAATTTGTGATAAAAAATAAATCCAAAACACTAATTTTTTCCATTATGATTAATTTTGACTATTTGAAAGATATCAATTACAGTTTCCTGTAATCACAAATCAGTACAATCTTAAAATTCACCAATAGATGGCCTTAATTAATAAGCAACCGTCAACATTTAAAAACATAACCTAAAGATGTAAAGCAATTTAATTTTCGTGCAAAATGTCAACTTTGCAAGGTAAATATGAATAAATCGTTATACCCTATTTATTTTACTAGTTTAATTCATGTTGTAGATAAAGAAAACGAGCAATTTATAGCACAACAAACTAAATTGGCTATAAGACGCAGTAAAGGCCACAAAATTCTAGAAGACCTTTACCAATCTATAAATGAAAGTAGACATGCAATATTGGTAATATAAGTTTCATTAGAGCTTGTAAAAAGCTTAAATTGACTTTTTTTTAGATGGAACACAACTTTGTAGTTAAATCGGTAGACTTTCCGGAAATAAAAAATCCTTTTGATCTTTATAAAGAGGAAGAATTGATATCGGAAGTTGTATGTATTATTGTAGTATTAATATAGTTTTTGTAATTTATCTTTTGGATTATTTTGTTATAGGATACAGCGTTGGAGAAGAAATTACAGCAACAAATTTTATTATGTGATATTCTCACTAAAAAAATTAATATGAAAAAGGCTTCTTAATAATTTAATCTAATAAATGTTGATATATTATTTCTAAACATTTCAGTCTTGGTTTTGTACCCTAAAAAAAAATAATGTAGTTTTTGAGGTAAAAATACAGGTGATTTTAATGTAGTATGTCAAATTCCAAGAAAATGCAGCTATACAAACACATTTGAAGGTGCAAATTTTCTTCCAACTACTAATTTATTAAAACCACACTTTGTATTAACCCTATTATAACAGACATTCATTATATAACGTTTTTTATAAATAACAAGGGCTCACAAGATCAGCACAACTTTACCCAAATGTATCTACATATTTGTAAAAAGTAAAAAAGACATGATTTAAATGCATGTCTTACAAATGGCAAGATATAGTATGTAACGTGATCACCATGCGCCATTTCGTATCTCTTTATGTAATCAACTTGAGGGTTTGGCTGTTAAAACACTATTTTATGTTTGTGATTTTATGTTGTAACTGAACTTGTATGATGGCTCTTCTCCTGATGGCGTCGGATAAATCTTTTTCCTATTCCTCCATCCACCTCTTCCACTCCCTCTGGTTCCTGGCTAATTCCTTTATATCTGCTAGAGTCTTCCCTCTGTTTTTCCCAACTTCTACTATTCTTTCCTCCCACTTCTTCCTAGGTCTTTCCCTCTTTTTCTTATCCTTATTCTTTGATTCAAATACCTTTTTTCTATTGTGTTATGTTCAATTTTAATTATGTGGGCGTACCAGTTTAGTTGCTTTCGCTCTATTTTGCTGATTATCTCCTCTTGATCTACTCCCAGTCTTATTTCCTCATTCCTTATCTGTGATCTTTCCTTCTTGTTTATCTTGGAGTGTCCATGATTCACTGACATCCGTTAATATTGGGACTGCCACCGCGTACACTTTCAATTTTATCTTTTTATCTATCTATTTCTTCCCAAAAATTGTTCTGTTTAGAGTATGATATACGTTGTTTGTTTTCCTTGTTCTTGCATTTATGTCTTAGTCTATCCTTCCATCTTGTGATATTATACTGCCCAAGTAATAAATATTTCTTTCGGGTTATGTCTTATTTCCTGTTTATTTATTATTACAGCAGTCGACATCCTTGTTATCCAGAGCATCTATTCCTCGCAAAGTACTGTTCGCCTCGTACAAGGTCACCATATTGCTAGATGGAAAAAACCGCATATGATTGCTAAAGATCTTATTTTACCTGCAGCGATTGATATGGTATCTGTAAAGATTGGAGAATCGGCGGCTAATAAAATAAAAACATGACATTGCTGAAGACATTAATAAGCAAATTGTGGAAAAACTTTCTGGTTTATTTGCCATTTAGCTGGATGAAACGACAGACAGTAATAATAACGCTCAAATTATATGTTACGTGCGGTACGTGGAAAAAACAATATTATTATGAGGATTTGTTATTTTGCAAAAAAATGACTGTTATCGGGAAGACTTGTAATTTGTTTACAGTTAAATGATTCATACATGGAAAAAAATAACATTCAATGGGAAAACTGTGTAGGACATCAAACTCTCATTCAAGACAAGGCTCCAAATTCAAAATGGACATATTGTATTATATATAGAGAGACTCTGGCTGGAAAAATATATCACCTGAATTAAATATTTGTGATAGATATAATTATCAAAGTGGTAAACTTCATAAAAACAAGACCCGTGAAGGCAAGATTTTTCCAAAAGCTTACATCTTTATTTTATTATTGTAACTCTCGAGGTAACGTACTCCCACGTGTATATGAATTAAAAAATGGGTTATATGCGTATTTATTGCCAAAATCGCACAAATCGAATCATCGACTTCTTAATAAAAATGGCGTATCTTTGCGACGTATTTGAAAAATTAAATACTCTTAATAAATCGCATATAATGCAACTGGCTGATAAAATTGCAAGCCTATCAAAAGAAGTTGTTGTGGAAAAGAAAAATAGAAGAGGAGCATAGAAATACTGATTGTTTTCCTGTTTTAAAAAGCTTCCTACAAGAAAATTGTAATTATTCTCCTGCAAATCTGTTCAAGATCTGATGCCAAATTTGCAATTGATATTAATCCAACACTTATCAACATTACGCACCCATTTTGATAGATATTTTCCACAGAATCTTGATCAATACGACTGGATTAGACATCCATTCCAATCGACCCCACTTCCATCTTTACTTTCAACAGTTGAGCAAGAACAACAAATTAGAGACTTTTAAAAAAATGAAACTCAGGCCTAGTGGTACAAGATTTGCGTCTTCTGAAAAAACATTAGTATCGTCATTTGAGATATCGAAATTAATAGCGCAATCAAAAAAGCCTCACACAATACGAGAAACTCTTGTGAAACCTTGTTTGATCAAAGCTGTCGAGCAAGTTTTCGGATTAGAAGCCCAAAAAAGTACAAGATATATCTTTATCGTATAACACGGTGAAAACTGGAATTGAACTTATGTCAAATGATATCGAGGAGCAACTTGTTTCAAAAATTAAAAAATCACCATTCTTCGCTTTGTAGTGTGATGAATCCACTGACATTTCTAATTGTTCTCAGTTACTAGTTTTTGTCCATTTTTTAGATGACGACAACATAATCAAAGAAGAATTATTGATTTCACAGGAACTGGCAATGACATCAAAAAGTATCGACGTCATGAACATAACTGAATATTTCCAGAAGTATGACATTGTGTGGGAAAAACTAGCCGGTTTCTGTACGGATAGTGCTCCAGCGATATTAGAATCACGTTCCGGTCTGGCGACCTTAATCAAACAGAAAAATCCGTCAGCAGTAACATCGCATTGTGTCCTTCATCGCCAGGCGTTAGTTTCCAAGACTCTTCCTAAATACCTTAATAATATAATACAATTAGCCATAAAGGTGATGAATGTTATCAAAAGCAGGCATTAAATGCACCATGTTTCACACAGAAGTTCGTCAAAAAGCAACATACTGGAAAGATTATACACGCTCAGGGAAGATGTTGAGATGTTTCTAGGCGAGAAAAAGATAAAAGACTTGCTAGAGCAGTTTTCTAATATGACATCCCAGTTGCATTTGGCTTATCTTGTGAACTTACAATTACAAGGTTTAGGAAATAAACATTTAAAAGGTTTCGTAAATATATTTATTTTTGAAGATAAACTTCGTGCTTTTATTTGTAAACTTCAATTATGAATTAGTCAAGCTTGCAAGGACAATTATAGTGCGTTCTCGCCATTAAAGAAACTTTTTGATGACAAAAAGTATGACATGTCATCTGCAAATATTGGCCGATGAATTTAACCGTTATTTCCCAAAATATAGCAATACAGAAGCTGAAGTTTACCAAAAACTGATACGCAATCCTTTTGGGACTAATGTTAGAGAAGTTGCAGATGAAATTCAAGAAGAACTTATTGAATTGCAAAATGATAGAAACTGTAAGGACGCATGAAACTGATTCTTCGGAGCAGTTTTGGTGTAAGAAAGCAATTTCATACACCAAAATTTCTCCACAACTTATTTATGCGAACAAGTATTCTCTTCATTATTGATTATGAAAAACAAGTCTAGAAATCGATTGACGGTAAGTGATGATAAGCATGTAGCTTCGAGCAAAAATATCACCCCTAGAATTCAAGAACTTGTAGAAGATGCAAGCTCAAAAATCTCATTGATAATTTTTCACTGTTCATTAGTTACTTTTCAACGTTTCGAATAAAAACTATTTTTAAATTTATACATTTTATTTTTTAACCTTGTGGTCCCTGCTAATAATAACGAAGTCAAAGTGGTCCCCAGTAAAAAAAAGGTTGGGAACCACTGCTGTAAAGGGAGTCGCAGTATAAAAAAGATTGGAAACCCATGCTCTATCTGATAAGCTAATCAAATATGGGTGTTCCATTTAAAATTTTCGACTTTTTTGCAATTGAATATGGTAAAACACTAAAACAGTAGTTATATTTTTGAACACTCTGTATAAGATAGACCGATGTAGCCAATGGCGCTCTATTTAGGGATATCCAAGCAGCAACTGTTACAAATTTGAACTTTCTAGCTCGATCAGTCACTAAGAAATTCAGATTTAAAGAACAGTGTCAAATTGCTAAAAAAGTTTCTAATTAAAATAACTCAAAAACTAAAAGCACTAAGTATCAACATATCTTATCAAAGTCAACATATTCTTGTATGTAGAATCAGAATACGTAATAAAAACTAAATCATTCCGTTTAAAATAACATACAGGTGTACAAAAAGTATGGAATAATCGTTCTACAGCTTAAACTTCAACTTATATTAAAAAAAAATTTAAATAAAAGTTACTTGAAACTATTTTCCGCACATCTTGGCGTAGAAATAAAATAAAAATGATGACGGCAGTCTGAGTTACGACATGGTGAGTGTGTTTTTAAATGGAACAGTCTGTATATTTTCAGTTTTTTGGATTCCTTTTGACAAGGTGTTGCAAAATGCCATAAGATTTTAATGCTTTAAACTGCATAGTTTTTGAAATATTGAAACTTTTATTTAAAAAGATTTGACGTAGCGACAACAAGTTATGGCGTCATTATGGAATAAACAACCCATTTACCACAGTTAGCGACGAAGATGTTTGGAGTCGGTATAAGCTCCGCCCATCCCTGTGACGTCAAGGCTTAGGTTGTCTATTCCATAATGACGCCATAATTTGGTTAGTAGCTACGCCAAATCTTTTTAAATAAAGGTTTCAGTATCTCGAAAACTATGCAGTTTAAAGTATTAAAACCTTATGGCATTTTGCAACACCTTGTCAAAAGGAATCCAACAACTTTAAAATATACAGGCTGTTCCATGTAAAAAACACACTCACCTACACACTACGCCAAGATATGGGGAAAATAGTTTCAAGTAACTTTTATTTAAAACTTTTTTTAATATAAGTTGAAGTTTAGGCTGTAGAACCATTATTCCATACTTTTTGTACACCCTGTATATTTATTTCGGGCGTTATGGGACATCCTGTAAGTATAAGAATATTTTCCGTTTATAGTGTAGTAAATTTCCTACAACTTTGGTCAATTGGTTGTGTATTTTGGCTCCTTAATGCCATTTATGTACTTTGTCACTTATGTGGGACACCCAGTATAAACTTTCAACTCCTAAAACTTAGTTGGTCTTTTACTGCACGTATAAAAAAATATGTAAACCTTATTTTGATTCCTTCTATGACTGTACCAAATTTCATCAAAGTTGGTGTGCCACTTCCCTTGTAAGAAAAAGTATCTCATCAAATATCGAATTACAGACTCTTCTTCACAAAATCAAAATTATAATAGACTTGTAATGTGGTTTATGAAAAAAATTAAAAGGTGAATATCGCCTCATGGGTATAGAGCCCTTGTTATGCTTCATATTCTCAAATGTTGCTTAATATTACCTTTATATCTCATCAAATTACTTTGTAAATAATTAAGCCACATCCTAAATCAATCCAATTTTGTTCATACAGGATATTATTATTTTAGGGAATCATTGAACAATGAACAAGTATGTGGAATTTAACACATTACTATTAAATCACCCTGATTATATTAAAAAGTACCGTAAATAATGGAATAATGGTATCCTTATTATCATCTTTAACCAAAATGCTTAATACAAATAACACACGATGCTAAAAGTTTAATAAGAAAATTTAAATTAATATGTTGTTCCAACTTGATGAAATTACGTACCTTAGAAAAAACTTCATTAATAAATAAACCCTGTATTGATTTTGCTGGAATAAATGTAGATGAGAATCCGAATTTGTATTTTTGTGTAATTTGACATCCTAATCGTGGAACATACAATAATTTTTCTAAAAATTAAATATTAATTTATTTGTGATATTTAATTTAATATCATACCAGATTTAACAACATGGAATATTTTCCAAATAACTAAGATTATGATTAAAACAAGAAAAACGAAATATTTTATACTATACAATTCAAATAAAACCCCAAAAAACCCAACAAAAATGATTAAAAAAAGTATTAAACATTTACTTCGGAGGTTATAATTTTTAATTTTTTTTATTGTAATCTCCGTACTATTACTATGTTTGATAATGCTTAATTTTAAATATTTCCCATAAATATCTTCATACTCCTTATTTTCTGTTTTATCACCCGAAAACATTTTTACTTTTCAAACTTTTAGGTTATGTGCAAAATTTTAAGATAATTTTAGTTGGTTAAAATTTGGCAACATGGCATTTGTAACCTAATTTCCACCATCAAATTTCATAAACGCAAAATACAAGCATTCGATTTAAACACCATAAGACGATAATTAAAACGTTTATTAAAATAACAATTAAAGAAAAGTTGTAAATATAATGGGGAGAGTTAAACTTTCTTTTGCGCAGAATCAGCTGTTCGAATTTAAATTTCCCGCCGCGAAGGCGCGCTGTCCTTGCAATTGCCCTTGTGAACCCCGCAAAGCGTTGTTGTGATCCAATATGGCGATTATTAGTGTTGTTTTACTTGGTGAAAACGCGTCGATACGTAGCCTTTATTAGAAGATATCAATTATAATGGTGTTGTACATCGTGCGATCCGTCTAAACATCGAAAAGGTTAAATAAACGCGACCAAAGTCGAAATATTTAATAAAGGGGAATATACACAGCGTGTTTGTGTGTGGTTGTCGTGTAGAGAGTAAATTAGACCCCCACGAAAAAAAATCTCGTAGCTTTTAAAACGGTTGTGATCGCCCAAAAATAATAATCGGATCTTGTGAAAATACAGGTTAGTTTCATGTGTACGGCACGTTTACCCGATTTTGGGATACTTTAACTTTAAAGTTACTTACTCTGTATCGTTTGTTTATGTTCAACTTAAATTGTCAGATTTGACGTTTTTGGTTTCTTTTCATTTTCCCTTTTTTTTATTACCGCCCTTTATATAAGGTGTATTTTATAGATAAAAGTTCATTTTTGAGATATCTTTAAATGTTTCCCATTTTACAAAGTGATTATCCCTCCTTTTAACACTAAAATAATCCGCGAAACTGTAGGGTTAATCTAGTGTTAAAAGAAGGTTAGTTTTATTTCATTTGTTTATGTTGTTGATGTTGATTGTCAAATTTGACGTTTATAGGTTGTGTTTATTTTCTTAAACATTGTGAATAATCTTTTTGGGTTTAAATACTTAAAGCTTTTGTCTGTTTGACAATTTTTTTTGTTTGAAGACCTCTTGGTGCTCTTCTAAGTTAAAGGTTAGTTTCTGTTTAATGAGATTTAACCGATTCTTTTACTCTGTAATTTCATGCTTTACTACTGTAACATTAGAAAATACATATTATAGGGAGTACTTAATAAGATTGAATTAATTTAACCTAATTGTTATGTTAAGTTTTCGAAAAAATTAAATTAAATCGAGTTTGGGTAAAATTATTGAACTCGTTGAGACTTGTTAGTTAGTCAGAAATGACTCAATCACGAAGAACTTCATTATTATTATTATGCAATGTTAAGTAGTTTTTATTTGTTATAATTTTATTTTTAATTAATGATTTGTTTTAATGTTTTATATAGGTGGTCCAAAATAACAAGAACAAACTTTGAGTTTTGGAGGTATTTTAAATTATTTATTTTTTTAAAGAGGTGTGATAATATGACATTAAAATATAAAATACCTTGGAAAAGTTACTGAAAAAACACCAATTTTGTGAAATTGCAGCAAAAGCATTTTCTTTGGGAAGTAGAATTCTTTTTATTGATACATTTTTATTTTTTCTATCTCCTCTCCCCTAACAAATTCTAACTTCGTTTTTTTGTTTATGCTTAGCTTTTCACAGGTGGACCAACAGCAATATTAATTCATTAAATTCATCTGGGTTCCATTCCTTCAAAGATTTCCTTGCTTGACAAATTTGACCATCATATCCACATTTCATTTTGAATTATGATCTCACTGGAAGATATTACAACACAGTAATGTCCCAGAAAAGTAGGGAAAACCTCTCTCCAAGAGAAGCTTGTTTTTCCAAATGGTTATTTCTTAAATAAACACTCATTATATGTTTAAAATAATCTTGAAATCTATCCCCAAGTGGTTTTCTCATCTCATTGATATTGTTGAATGAAGCATGACTGTACTTCTTCAGTTCGGGTTTAACTCCAGTCGTTTATCAACCACTTAATGTGCCATACATCATTGCAATCTTCACACTATTGCTAATACTAATTTAAGTGTGAGTTCACAATGGATTTCAGAGATGAGAGATTCTCAGATGAAATTTTAGAGTAGCACCACATTTAAAGCTAGTTAGGTTTATACTTTGTGATTGGTTATAAATAAATAATCAGAAGATTTTTAATAATTATTGAACTTATTAACAACTATGATCAAGATGTCCCCAATACAACATCACATTGTGTTACTTTGTATATGAATATCTTCAGAGTATCATTTTTGAATTACACAGGTTCTTTCCACCTTGTTCCTAGAGATGGGTTGGAGGGTGTTGAGTTATAAAAGGCAATAATGTTCTGTCTAAACAATAACGTTAAAACGTAGAATTTTGTTATCCTAATTTAATGTTTGAGTGTGAGATATATTTCTCCAATAATTAATGTCGCGCTTTGGTTAATATTTTCGAGAGATGCATAGTCCAAGGTTCTTATACTATGACTTTGATACATGATGTGGCATTTTGCACATTTTGTATAAAAAGGCAGTTTAGAATTCCATGTTTGATTCAAATTTAAAATATTTTTTGTTTCCAATGAATGATCCCACCTTATGATTTTGATTCAAGTTCTTGTTCTTCTTTTGGGACATTCTCTCTTTCAAAATTTGAAAAATTGTCACTATCTTCTACATGGTGTTTTCAATTATTTTTTTCTTCAAAATATATTTTCTTTCAATATTCGCGTATTTAGATGTGATTGAAAAATTTATGCCATAAAATTGCCAAAAATGACATAACATTTCTCAATGCAGGGTGATTGAAACTTTATCGTTATACTTATAATTTTTTAAACGCATAATAGTATAGGGTCTTAGATATATAGCTGTCAGCACTATATAATTAATATTTAGAAACCTCTTTGAAATCTGAATGGTGATTAATAAGAACATAACAACAAAGATTAGCGTAACACGAACAATAACAATAATAGAAAATTATCTAAACTTTAATTCCCATTGTTATCCAAACAGAATCTTAAACTTTGATTAACGATTTCAAATTTAAGTTTTGCCAAAGAATTTGTTATGAGATGTGCTTGATGAAAAAATTAATTGATCGACTCATTTCAAGAGAACTTTCCTTTAATTAATCATAAAAAATATCCGATAGCAGTAAAGAAAATAATATGGTTACATAACATTGCGCACTATACCGCTTCAATAAGTAGACCATTTTTGAATGATCAGTCTCGCTGCATCAGTAATCGAAATATAACTGATGCAGCGAGACTGAAGGAATGATTTTTATGATCCTTAAATTGATCAATATTTGACTTTCATGGTGAATATTACAAGTTTATAAAACATGTTCTATCTCTATATGGTCGTCGCCACATATCAAAGAGGTTGTAATCCTCTTCAAGCGATATCTAGACTTTTACAATATCTAATTTTTTGCAAACAGTATATAGCCTTCTGCAGAGAGTAACTAGTCTCCTATAGCAGCGTGTTTTGTTATGCAAGCTGATATAGTCTTCTATTACCGGTATCTAATCTTTTGCAAAATGGTATTTTATATGTCTAAATTTCTGCCAGTAGTGTTCAGTGTTCTGCAAGCAATATTTAGTATTCTGCAAGAAGGGTCTAGTTTTCTACCAACAGTATCTAGTCCTAATCTAATCTTTTACCACCGGTAACAAGTCTTCTATTAGCAGTAACTAGTTGTTCATTACCAGTATCTTCTTATCCTCATGGCTTCTATAACGGGCAAGATCGGCGTTTCTTTGCTTGTTTTGGCAGTAGAACCGAACGGCCAATGTGATTGGTACATGGTTCTGACATTCCAACAGGCTGTAAGGAATATTTCTCGCATATCTAGCTCCCAGAATCCCAGATTTTTCCCATTCATTCTAATACTATTTATTTATCTATTTCGACAACATCTTTTCCATTGTAAATTATTTTGTATGTTCTTTCCTATCTGTCGAGTGTGTTTCTAGTTGTCCCTGATCATATGTTTGCCGTTATTTAACTCTGTAGTTATCTAATCTGACATTAAACTTATCTTCTTGTTCTTTCTCCCACTTAGACTTGTAGCCTGTTCTTCATCGATGATGTCTCTGTTTTGTTCGTGAATTATCTCTCCATCTTTCTCTTGGTCGTCCTTGACTGATCTTATGTCATTTTTTCTATGTGTGCATTCCATTCTTTTTTTCTGTTATGTCTTCTAATCTAATATTTTCGCCTATTTCTTTATCGCACAGAGCTTTGCCAGTAATTCTGCAATGTGTCTTCATTTCTGTGGTTTCTACTATCCGTTTTGTTTTAGATGTGTTAGGTTTAGTCTCGGTCGTATCGGTCATAATCGATTACTTATATATTTCCGATTTTGCATTTATATTTATTTGTTTGTTCATCCACACAAGTGTCGTTTACGCAACCTGCCATTTTATTGGCTTTTCTAGCTTGTTGGGATACTTCATTTTAAATATAGCCGAATCTTGATAGTTCATCTCCCAAGTACTTGAATAATATGACCAGAATTATAAATTCCTGATCACCCACTCCTTCTAGGATTCAGTCTTGGTGATTTCGCTGTTTCAGTTGTCTTAGCGTTTCCTCTATTTGATTCGTTTCTCTGTATAATTAAGTTTACTACTCTTTTACGCGGGCTTGGGACCGCCAAAAGCACTTATCCCTGGCGGAGTTACATTAACATTATCTGATCTAAAAACAATGTCTCGACTCTGGTTGCTGAGATGGTTCAACAAGACGCTTATCTTCTATTAATAGCGATTTGGCACGTCCTTACATTTTTTGACTTCAGCGCCTTTTACCAGATTTGCGAGGCACATAAAGTAACGTGATTGTGGTTGTCATAAATTATGTTTTCTTGTGATCTTGTATCTCATGTTGGGCAATACCCTTAATAGCATATTTGATATATTCCAACCCAACTCATGTACACGCGTAGGTTTTTAACTTTCTCCTCGCTGTTTTCGTACTTGGAACAGGACCATCTCAGTTTCGTGGGCTGCTATCCATAACTCGATTTCTTCCTTCTCATGATTCATGTTTGCCCTTTTCATTAAGGTGTGTCAAAATGTGTCAAGACACAATTTTGCCGCACGTAAGTAGTTTGGATATATCAAAGAATGTGCCACGCACTTATTAAAAATGTTCGCGAGCGGCAATTAGAGTGCGGCATCCACTCAATGTTTGGATACACCTTTAACCTATACGATATTGATCTCTATCAGGTTTTTCCTGTTATATTGGTATCATCCAAATCTTTGGGAGCATGCTTCTTCTTACACAGTCGAACCCCCCTAACTCTATGTCAAAGCATTTCTCTCCTTCTAAATCATGTGGATCTTCAGAATATTTATTCAGTCTTTTATCCCTCCTTAACAAATCATGTTTGTCTCTTATGTTCTTTCATCTTATACACTTGAACTAGGTGCCATTCTCCGCCATTTTTTATTTATGTAGTCACTAGTCAACCTTTAAAGTATTTGTGCTCCCAATTTTTATTTTAAAACAGCCTCTTTTTAATGTTGCACAAAGTGATCATTTAAACCGGATGTGGATTACTTAATCCAGGTCCGATTGTCAAAATATTTTATGCTACAAAAAGAAGTATCTTTATATACAAAGTGGTTTAGTAACAAAGTTATCTAACAAGTCTCATTCAATCAATAATTTTTAATTAAAAACTGATAAATTAAACATAATTATTATTGTTATTACACAATGTTTCGTTTATTATTTATATTACAGTATTGATTTAATTGTTACGAATTAATATTTAACGAATTAATTTAATAATATTGAAAATATCGAAAACGTTTTCAATTTATTTGCGCTATAGTAAAGTGCACGAACGTAATTTTATTGATAATGCACTCAGGTTAAAACGATTTAATGACTGTAAACATTTTTTTTAATGCTGTTTTGTTGCAGACGGAATGTGGGAAATTATTCTGTGCATATAATAAAATAAGTGATCATGACAGATACAAAGAGAAGGGTAAAGTTGTATGCGTTGAACGCTGATAGACAATGGGACGATAGGGGGACGGGGCACGTGTCTTCGACGTATGTGGATCGTGTTAAGGGTATATCGCTGTTGGTCCGCGCGGAAAGTGACGGTTCTTTGCTATTGGAATCGAAAATCCAACCTGACACGGCGTACCAAAAGCAACAGGATACGTTGATTGTATGGTCGGAAGGTGATAATTTTGATTTAGCGTTAAGTTTTCAAGAAAAGGCCGGTTGCGATGAGATTTGGGAAAAAATCTGTCAAGTCCAAGGGAAAGATCCGTCGGTCGAAATCACCCAAGATATCGTCGAAGAGTCCGAAGATGAACGTTTCGACGATATGTCGGAGTCCGCGCCCCCCATCGAATTACCCAACTGCGAACTTAGTCGACTCGAAGATATCAGCGAACTTATAACTAATTGTTTAACGTCCCCAATGCGCAAAGAAAAGTTAGCGGCTGTCATTGAAAGCGAAGGTTACATTAGGAAATTGTTGGATTTGTTTCGATTGTGTGAAGATTTGGAGAATAACGAAGGTTTACATCATCTATATGATATCTTCAAAAACATCTTCTTACTGAACAAAAACGCACTTTTCGACGTAATGTTTAGTGAAGACGTTATTTTCGACGTTGTCGGTTGTTTAGAGTACGATCCGTCTTCGCTCAGTCGGAAAAAACACCGAGAATATCTGAAACAACAAGCGAAATTCCGCGAGGCAATTCCAATTAAAAATCCAGATTTATTATCGAAAATACACCAAACGTTCCGGGTGCAATACATCCAAGACGTCGTCTTGCCCACTCCATCCGTTTTTGAAGATAACATGCTGTCAACATTGAGCAGCTTCATATACTTTAATAAAGTTGAAATTGTGTCGTTAGTACAAGAAGACGAAAGGTTCCTTACAGACTTATTCACAATGTTAACCGACGTCAGTACTTCGGATGCTAAACGTCGTGACTTGGTACTGTTTCTAAAAGAATTTTGTAATTACTCGCAAAATTTACAACCGCAAGCCAAGGAAACGTTTTACAAGACGCTGACCAATTTGGGTATATTACCCGCGTTAGAAATCACGCTGTGTATGGAAGACCAAAAGACCAAAACTGCCTCCATTGATATACTCACATATATCGTTGAGTTTTCACCATCATTTGTTAGGGAGTATACATTACAACAGGCCAATAATACGGATGAGGTACGAATTAAATTTTATATTTAAATAATATTTTTTTTTAATTTATATACAGTGTTTACCCAAAATTCAGCAATACCTACGTTTTTAAAATTTTATCTATATGGGGTGTTCATCCAAATCTGCCACTAGATAGACCACAAATATAATTGTCATTTTAAATTTCGCACTAGCGCCATCTTTTGTTGGCCAGCTGTTTCAAATGACATTGTTTAAATGAATACAAACTTTCGATATTGTTGATAGGCAATAATAACAATTCTAAATAAATGTTAATATTTGTTAAATGTTGTGTATATAAAACTGGCTAATAAATGCCTGTTTAGAGAGCTTACAATAGACCTAAAAATAGAAACATTTGATATTTGTCTCCATGTTGCAAGTTAATTAAGTATTAATAAAACTACAAAAACTTCTTCCTTGCTATTTATTAATATACATGTCGCTGATATGTATGGAAATGGTCGGTTATCTCCTAAAGTAAGATAGATAGAGAAAAATGTTAAGATACAAAAGATTTAGTGTTTTTTAAAATCTATTACAATAAAGACAAATTAAGTATACAGGTCAGCCAAAAAATTATGACGAAACAAGGTTACGTTTTCTTTAATGGAACAGCTGTATATTATGCGATATTTCAGTTCATAAACCTAAACTTACTCGTTTTCCATATATCGAACTTTTAAAAATTTACGAATTTATCTAATTAGTGACGTAATTTATCTTTGGGTGCAAATAGACAAACTAAACCTTGACGTCACAGAGATGGGCGTTAGAGTGGGTGTATGCTCCGCCCACCTCTGTGACGTCAGACTTAGGCAGTCTATTATTGAAACTATTTTTGTATTTTTGAGATGTGTTATATCACTGCGTTGCTATGGAGATGAAAAACTTTCAAAAGGTAACTTGATATGATCATAAACGACTAAAATATTTTTGTGTAATTTATAAGAGTGATTTTCAAAGTTTAATATCTTAAAACCGCTTGAGTTTAGATTTATGATGTGCTACATGAATTTTGTTTAGAATTTCGAGATGAACTGAAATATGGAATAATATATAGGGGTGTTCCATTAAAGAAAACGTAAGTTTGTTTCGTCATAACTTTTTGACTGACCCTGTACACTTAATTTATTTTTATTGTAATAGATTTTAAAAAACACAAAAACTTTTCTATCTTAACATTTTTCGCTAGCTATCTGACTTTAGGAGATAACCGACCGTTTCCATACATATCAGCGACCCATATGGGACTAGTTTCAGGCTAAATGCCCATCTTCAGCCAAATATATACGCACAACATAGAAAACATTATACAAAAACCCAATTAAAATGATCATTGCTTACTTCAAAAAGGAACTAATGGTAAAAATATCTTGGTTAAAAATTTTACTATAATAACAATATTTATGTTTATCTCGACCGATCTTATACATTAACACTTTAAAACTGTCGACAAAGAACCAAGAAAACAATTAAAACACAAACATTAAGCGTTGAAAACTTGTCGAAAATTGAGGTTATGTGTTCTACATTTTGGAAATACTCAAAGTGGAGGCGCGAAATTTACAGATTCAAATCATTTAAGTACAAAAATAAAGGTTTATATTGTATTTCTACCTGTTCGTTAAATAATTCGCCCTTATTATTAAATTTACGTTTATATATTTCGAGCATTTCAAGGAAATCGAATTTCAGACCTTTGTTACATCTATGTAAGAGTGTCGCACCTTCAAAATTAATATTATGTCCTGTTTCCAGTCCATGGTTAAAAACATTTGAGTAGAGGTGGAACGGATATCCGGTAACTATCCGGCAATTTTTTAAAATCCGGCCGGATATTAAAAACCTATTACTTAGTACTCTACAATTCGCAGGAATTAGTATTTCTTTTAGGTGTTGGACACTGCAGATAATCAAGTTCAAACCAAATAGGACTTTTTTCATTGAATACAACTTTATTTATATCAAGTTTGTTATTAGCAACCTCATTGTAACAATTCCAATACGATATATAAAATCTCTTGTTGCAGTTTCGTCTAGTTTTCATCTCTTCACTTGTAATTCATCATCACATTCATTAATAACAGAACTGCCGCTGTTATCACTTTCGATTATTAATAAAAGTATACTCTTTTTAATGCAAAAAGCCGTTTTGAAAAATCACTTTCAGTTTTTGAGAAAAAAATTTTTGAAATGATCAACAATTTTTTCGAATTTTGCAATTTTCGGCGATTAAGTTTTCAAAATTCGTATAAAATTCATTTCTTGGAATATGAGTATGAAAATTTTTCAAATTGTCAATAAAAATGTCCTCTTTCCAATGAACCTACCAGTTTTGAAAAATAACTTTTAGGTTGTGAAAAAACAATCTTTGAAGTTTTGATAAAATTATCGATGTTGTAATTTTCATCTTTAACTTTCAAAATTCGCTATAAAATTCATTTCTTGAAGGATCCTTGTGGAAATATCGCCAATTATTCGATTATTATTAATTAAACTATCCTGATTATGACGAAACAAAGTTACGTTTTCTGTAATTGAACACCTGTATATTATTTCATATTTCCATGTATATCATAAACCTAAACTTAACCGTTTTAGAGATAGTAAACTTTGAAAATCACTTATAAATTACACAAAAATATTTTAGTCGTTAATGTTCAAAATTCATCAAGTTACCTTTCAAAGTGTTTCATCTTCATAGTAACGCAGTGACATGACATGTCGGAAATACAAAAATAGTTTGAACAATAGACTACCTATAGTTCATTTTTTTTTCTATAATACCTGCCAAATTGTTGCAAAGTTGGCAAAATTAACGGGGAGTTTTGTTTTATCATGTTTTAAAATAAATATGTCACATTGACGTTTGAGCTTTCGTTATTCAAAAAGAAAAGGTGCATAAAAAATGTTATGGGGTATTTATTTGCCATTTATTTACCTAGAAAAGGTGTTTTGTTCTATTTAATTACTTTGTAGCACGTTCTTACAACAAATATATACTTCGTTAAAATCGTATTTATCTAAAAATGTATTAGTATTTTAACCTCAACTATTTAATAGAAGAAAATCTTCGGTTTGATCACCCAAATGTATAAGGTTAAAAATAAAATTAATCGTACTTCTTGGTGATATGTTTTACTCACCCACTTTATTTAGTCACTATTTAGTTACTGAAAATGTTACTAAAAATCAGGAAAACAACATAAATTTTATAAGGGTCCTAGATAATACCAACAGAAACCCTAAAAAATTTACATTGACAAGTATTATAGAAAAAAAAAACGAATTATAAGTCTGACGTCACAGAGCTGGGCGAAGCTTATACTGACTCCAAACAATTTCGTTGGTAACCATAGTTCCTAAGATAAATCGCCAAAAAATGTCATTTGAAATGTCATCACTTAGTTTATTTTATATTAACACTAATGGAAAATTGCATATGTTGATTTACTGTTAGCAACACAGTTAGAATCGAAAATGTTTGGAGTCAGTATAAGCTCCACCCGTCTCTGTGACGTCAAGGCTTAGGTTAGGTTAATTACGTCACTAATTATATAAATTCGTAAATTTTTAAAAACTCGATATCGTAGAAACGGTTAAGTTTAGATCTATGCTATGCTACATTAATTTTGTTTAGAATTTAGAGATAAACTAAAGTGTGGAATAATATACAGGTGTTCCATTAAAGAAAACGTCACTTTGTTTCGTCATAACTTTTTGACTGACCTTGTATACTTAATTTCTTTACTGTAATAGATTTTAAAAAAACACTATTGTATCTTAACATTTTTCGCTAGTTATCTTACTTTAGGAGATAACTGACCGTTTCCATACACATCAGCGACCGTTACTCAACGCTAGATTGTTGTATATTTATATTGAACTAAAAATACAACTAACACTAAACGTAGAACTAGAAACGTTCGGGTTTAGCTATCTTAAGAGACGAACGGTAGAGAAACCCAAATGTTTCTAGGTCTAGTGTTAGTGTTAATTGCTAAAAGTAGAACTAATATTAAACTTAGAACTAGAAACATTCGGGTTTTAAGAGACGAACGGCTAAGCCCGAATGTTTCTAGTTAAATGTTTCTAAACATTCGGGTTTAGCCGTTCGTCTCTTAAAACCTGAATGTTTCTAGATCTAGCTCTAGTGTTAGCTCTACTTTTAGTTGTTATTCAACTTTAGATTGTTGTATATTTTTTTATTGAACTAAACCCAAAACTTGTCAACCAATTTTTGTATAAAGAATTTGAATATGTAATAAAAACCATGGCAATTAAACAATTACGATTTTGTGGTCTGTTTCCAACTAAAAATAATAAATAAACAGTGTTGCTGACTTTTTGGCTGACACTGTAGATGTTGTTTAGACATACAGTCTACCTTTTAAAACTCGAACCCGGGTTTTAACACAGTTATATTAAATAAAAATGACGCATGTAACAACATATCTATATTTACAGTTGTATCAGAAATATGAAAGATAAGATAATGCATCGTGAAAATGCTGCATCATTATTATTTTTTTATACATTGATATAGTAAAATTTGACCCTGACTTATTAATATTAATTTAATCTAATTTTTAAGGACCAGGTTCTACTAAATATAGTAATAGAACAAATGATCTGCGATTCGGATCCAGAATTAGGCGGAGCAGTTCAATTAATGGGCGTCTTAAAAATGCTCTTAGATCCAGAGAATATGTTGGGCCAAGTAAACAAATCGGAAAAAACTGATTTTCTTAATTATTTCTATAAACACAGCGTCCAAATACTAATAGGTGAGTCGCTTTGAATTACAAATACAATCCCTTTTTTTAATATTTGAAAGATGAAATTAGATTTTTTATTTTCAGCGCCACTATTAGAAAACACCGTTCACGGAGAACCACAAAAAGAAGATTACCAAACCGTGCAACTGTTGGGTTTAATATTAGAGTTATTATCGTTTTGCGTTGAACATCATACGTATCATATAAAAAATTGCATTTTGAATAAGGACCTGCTGCGCAGGATCTTAGTCCTCATGAAATCGACACACAAATTCTTAGTGTTGTGCGCCTTACGATTCATGCGCAAATTAATCGCGTTAAAAGACGAATTTTACAATCGCTATATTATAAAGGGAAATTTATTCGCGCCTGTTGTGGATGCTTTCGTTAGGAACAAAGGTCGGTATAATTTACTCGACTCGGCGATCATCGAAATGTTCGAATTTATCAAATTGGAGGATATTAAAACGTTGTGTTCGCACGTTGTTGAAAATTATGGAAAATGTTTAGACGACATCGGCTATGTACAAACTTTTAAATCTTTAAAATCAAGGTATGATCAACATCAAGATAAATTAAAAGATCGCGATAGAACCGCATTAGAGAGGTACATTTATTTATTTACTTATTTTAACTTAAACTAAAATACACCATTTTTGTTTTTAATAAATTTAGTGTGCCATCGATATTGAGAAATAGTCGATATAGAAGGGATCAAAGACAGATGGAAGAAGAGGAAGAGATGTGGTTTAACGAAGAGGACGATTTTGATGATAACGAGGCTATTATACCAGCGACGAATACTGATATTCTAAGTAAGAAAATTGAAACGGATTTGGACAATCTTGGTAAAATCATGGACAAAAAGGTAGAGGCCAATGGACCGAAAATAAACAACAATTCTGCGCAGAAAACGACCGTTTTTAATAATAATGCGAATGCCGCCCAACCCACAAGTCCTACAGCTGCGGATAATAAATCTGCACTGTTTAAAAGGGCAAGTTATTTTAAATTATTTTTATAGATTTTATAATAGCGTTAAATGCAAAATTATTTTATGACAAATAAGATTTGGGGAAAGTATTCTGTGCTCAATTCCTCTTCGAAAATTGTTTTTTAATTCAATTAGAGACTGAGGAGTGTTATTGTACCTTTGATTTAAGGTGGCCCCTCTAAAAAGAAATCTATTGATGTCAAGTCTGGATTGAAATCTACTGATTAAGGAATTTGTGGACCTTATCTGCTTAGTGTATTCTTCAAATGGTTTTAAAATATTTCTAATAATTCCATTGGTTTATTGTACAGTCACTGCAGCATGTAGAAGGTGGAATTCCATCTAGTTGGTACATCTTGTACAACTTTTCTTTGTGTCATGTTCAAAATATTCTGAACAGTTTTTAACTTACCACATGCTTATTAATGAGGAGTGATTAAAATGTGTAACAATTCGTCTGGTGCAAGCTATCATATCTAATATAAGGGCTATGTGAAGAAATGGCAAGGGATATAATAAGTTGTAGTGTATGAATGAAATAACTTTCGTTATCTATTTTAGCATCTTTGCAGCCTTTAACTATGTTGATGCCATTATCACGTAACATTATAGTAATATTATTAATTTGTATGTTCCCTAGTTGAGTTAAATCCAAAATTTTTGGTGCGACTTCCAGTATAATTTCCTGGAAACCTTTTGCAACTTGACGCAACGTTTCCCCTGTTCCATTCATTTGATATCTATTTGATATTGGTATTTTGTCATACAAACTATTATTGTTTTTAGAACATGTCCAAATGTCAGAAGTTAATGATGTATATTACATTTTAGACGTGTTTTGCAATTTTAGTTCGCATAAGTCAATATACAGGATGTTTCAGGTTTTTGAAGCAGGACTTTAACAGTCGATAGATCTTTTAAAATTAACACAAAAACTTCATATAAACATAGGTCGACAAACGCTTTGTTTTGGAGATTCAGGGTGTTCAAATTAAATTTTTAAATTGATTTTTATTTAATATTACACGTGTATTTCAACCGACTCTTTTCAAATTTGCTATACGGAGGTTTTTTGGCATGAGAAAGGCGATTATGGAGTTCGTTTTACTATAGCCGGTAGAGGGCGCTCTGTAACGTATTCTTTACGAATTAAAATAACAATAACTTTTCTGGCAGTATACTTTTTGGCTATTTAAATAAAAATTCTTATTCTCTGTACTTTTTAAGCAAAAAGGGTACTCTTATCAAAATGCGCTAAAGTTTATCGTTTTCAAGATAATCCGCTTTTTATTATTTGATACAGACCAATGTTTTTAGAGGATAGTTAAAGATAGTTGAAATAATGTGTGCTATGGAAACAAAGTAGGTAAATTAACTAATGTTTTAGTTTATTAATGTTTTATAATCTAAATAATAAAACAAAAAAATTAAAGAAATTGTTGAAAATGTAAAAAATTTTGCTTGCATAATTCTGACCAACGAATTATTGATCGAGTAATGGTATTTAAGAACGGCTTTATGTCATTACAAGCATTCCTAATCCTATTAAAAGTGCTCCCTTGTGGGAACAGATGTCTCATACAATTTTCCTTTCAAATATCTCCACACAAAAAAGATCTGCAGATCGTGAGGCCATGCGACTGGTCCATCACGACCAATTCATGTTGGAAGTTTTGTGGCCGAATTGCGTAGTGATACCAAAACATGTAAATTGTGAAAGTTTACAATCCCGTCTTGTGAAACACGATTCATTGTTCCACATTAAATTACTTAAGAAATCTCGATTGTTGACTGATGCTTTAGCAATCCACTGATAAAACGTTACACGCCGTTCTTCATCGCCTGGTTGCAATCCTTAGAAGGGTTGTAAATGATAAGCATGTCTATGATCATGTTTTAAAAGGCGATAAACACACGCTCTAGAAATTCGTAAGGCAGAAGGATGCGGATGTCTTCTATTTGGATATCTTCTCCTATACTCTAGGGCTACTTCTGCTGAATGTCCGTTTGAAAACCCATAAACAAAGTGAATACCCGCTAACTCTTGGTTAGGAAAAATAAACGGCATTTTATAAAGTTTTATGCAGCAAACAAAAAATTAAAAAATGAAAAAAAAAAAAAAAACAATTTAACACAAATAGGAAAAAGAGTAATTAATTGAACTAGCTGAAACACCTGTATAATTAGATATTACATTTTTCATATAGTTATGAGAGGGAAGTGTATATTGTGGGATAATAGTAGACAATAAACGAGAAAATCCTTTATCTTTTACTATTGAATATGGTTGATTATCTAAGCAGGTCATCTCAGCAATTTTGAAAGAATTTGCAGGGTTTTCAAGGTTTATTTTTGCTTGGTATTGTTGTAATGTCAGTTGTTGAGTTTTCAGTTTTACCTTTTCCGTAAATATTTCATCAATTATTATCTTCACATTTTTTTCTTGATGTTTCTCATATTCAGCTCATGGGGTCTTCTTAAATTAAGCGTTAACAGACTAGTCGAAGCTGCTGTTCCTTTCCCTCCTCTTGATATTATTTGTTTGTATAATTTACAATTAACTTTTGTTTCATCAGGTTCATTAATGACAAAATGGGACCAAACTTTACTATTTTTAATAGACATTTTAAAATATTTCTATCTTCAGCCTTTTATTGATATATTGTCACTTGAGAATTATTTTAAACCATATCCACTTTTGTATTATTCACAGTTACAACTGCTGTATTACATTGTACCATATCCAGCTACAAAAGAAGGTAATATTAAGCTAACAGCCAGAATTAAAGGAGTTACTTTGTACCAAGTCAAACATAGCCTTACTATAAGCAATTATATTGTACCAAGTCCCCTGGTCATTTGGTATGATTCCTGTATTCCCTAGAATAGGAATAGCATTATGTCTCTTGAAAAAATTAATAGGAATAGCATTATGTCTCTTAAAAAATTGATTTTTGTAACACACCTCACCGGAAATTCTAAGATTTCTGTAAGCACTTTTTGTTTCATTTTTTATCCATTGTCTAAAAAAAGTTAAAAAAAACATAAAATATCATTTTTCAAAAACGCTATTGAAGTAGGCTTTTGGGTACTTAAATAAACAATAGCATCACAAAAACTCATTTTCGTAGAAAACTTTACCCGACTTCTATCGAACAAAGGGGTAATTCCAAATATGCTAAAAAAGGTTGTGGGTGATGGGAACGTTTGGTATAAATTTTTACTTATCTGTATCACTTGCTTTCTGCAAGTTTCAACGGCTAAACTTGATAAAGAGTAGTGTTTACAAAGTGTTTTTTATTATTGCAAATATGGTTGGCAATCGTGCAGTGAGACGTTCAGTGCGTGGCAAAAAAGTTTCAAATCGTTATGTTTTGAAACGTCAAAAAGAGAGTGTGACCAGTGCAGCCAAAAAATTAAAAATGAGTGAAGATGACTACAACATCAATGTTGACGCAGCTTTTGGTTACCGTTTCATTGATTTTGTTTCTGTTTTTACTGCAACTTCGAACTTTGTTGTTTGTAAAGAGTGTGGAACACAAATTAAGTTTTTAGAAACAGCTCTTGACTGCTTGGTATTGGAGTAAATAGTATTACAAAGTTTTGCGCATTTATGTGTTTACCGAAACCAGTTTTCCATTCCTTCTACGATAAAGTCATTGCGAAAATTGCACAACAAGAGCCGTGCGCGACAGATGTTTTTCGAAGGCAGCCAGCAAAGAAACAGAATTGTCAATTCAGAACAATCAAATTGGGGGAATAACAGTTTCCGGTGACGGCACATGGAAAAAGAGAGGATTTTCATCTCTACTTGGTGTGACAACATTGATCCGATGGCGTACTGGTAAAATTGTCGATCTTGAAGTAAAGTCAAAAATTTGTAAAAAGTGTAGTTACTGGAAAGGTAAAGAAGATACTGCGGAATTTCAAGATTGGGTCGAAGATACATAATAATAAACATAATTTGAAGTACTGTTTTTACGCAGGAGACGGAGACAGCAAAACCTTCAAAGGTATTATGGACGCTCAGCCCTATGACAGTGTAATAGTAACCAAAGAAAAAAGAATGCGTCGATCACGTTCAGAAACGAATAGGCACACGATTACGAAATCTAAAAAGAAACACCCGCGGATTAGGAGGCGAAGGAAAATTAATTGATGAACTTTCCTTATATTATGGATTGGCTATTCGCAGAAATTGCGATTCCGTGAAGGACATGAAAAAAGAGATCTGGGCTACTTTGTATCATAAAATTTCAACAGATGAAACTCCAAAGCATGACAATTGTCCAGTTGGTGCTGACTCGTGGTATTCCTGGAAAAAAGCGTACGCTTTGTTAGAAATCGATGAGTACACTCACAAGCCAGCAATCGGCAATGATGTTTTCAACGCAGTGAAAAACGTATCTTCCTTATTTTTAGGAGTTATAAAACGATTTATACTTCAAATTGAAGCTGAAACCTTCCTTTATAAAACTGTGTATAAACTTAAATACTTTTGATTATAAAAATCTTGAGATAAAAGTTAAAAAGTAAAGTAACAATTTTTAACTGAACCTAAATCGAATAAAAATGCTAGATTTTCAAAAAATCGTATTATCCTTATCTTTTGGAGTTATGAAACGATTCATACTTCAAATTGAAGCTGAAGCCTTGCTCTTCAAGATCGAATACCAACTTAATCGTTTTTGGTTATAAAAATTTTGAGATAAAAGTTGAAAAGTGAAGTAACAATTTTTAACTTATCCTAAAACGAATAAAAATTCAAGATTTTCAAAAAATCATATTGTCTTTATTTTTAGGAGTTATGAAACGATTTATACATCAAATATATGATATAGCTGCTTGCAATTTTAATGACGGTCTTACAAGCATTATGGAAATAATTATCTCGTTCTAGTTAAGTATGTAGCCGTTTTTCGATATGTCTCAAATTCTCTGTTTTACAACCATTTTTATGTACGTTTTTATCGATAAATACGACATTTCTTGTAAAATCGTCACCATTTCGTCAAAAATAAATATTTTTTAAAAATCGTAAGTAGTTCCCTAGTTTTTGAGTTTACTAAAGTAATCGTATTCAAGTTTTAATTATTCGACTTACGCGTTAGGAGATATCCTGCGCACAGTTTGACCCTGCAGGATTTGCAAGTCTAACATTACTGACATCTAGCGGGAGCAATTTTAATAACTGTTAATAAATAAAATATGTATTTAAAACTAGAAAAATGGCTTATTCACACTCTGCAACCGGTTTTTAGAAAACTTCTTTCGAGTGATTGCAAAAAAATTTTAAAAATACCTGTTATTTTCGGATCTTCAAGGTGGCGTACCCCCTTAACTACCTCTCTTTGTTTTCTACTCCTACCTTTCCTTGCTAAAGTTACGAAAATCTCAATTTTTTACCTTTGTCGATGTCTTAGTATTTAATTTGGTATCGTTACTTCTGCTTCTCAATCGCTTCTTTACAGAAACTTTTGTAATTTCGTCATCGCTTACATTTTCAGTTTCAGCTTTTACTTTCTCCATTTCTTGCTTATTCAATTTCAATCCTTTCTCTTTTTAATAATAAACTCTTTAATAGAATTCTTGCAAGATTAGGCGTCGATACAGTAGTAGGTTCGAAAACCGTGTTCGAAAGCATTGTGTACTATATTTGACATTGTTTGGATTATATTTGGTTCAAAATGTTTAACAAATTCAGGATGACTTGAATCTATCTCAGTCAAATTTGTGTTGGAAGTTTTGGTTGTTAATCCATGTTCGGGAATATCTCGTTTGTAATAATTTTATGACTTATTCATGGGTGGTTAGAAATATATTTTAATGTGTAATAACATTAATAAAATTTTGGTTGTATTCTTATAGGGTTTAGTAGACTACGAAGGAGATTCCGATGAGGAGGAAGAGGACGCGACAGGGGAGATGTCAAAGCGGCCCCGTTTGTCATAGTATGCGATTCGGCCAGCAACGGCACAGGTAAGTTCGCCAAAGACTGAAGTGCCGTCGCCGGATGCCGCGGAGTGATCTCATAGTGCAGTGCGGTTCAAATCGTCGTAAAATGTTCTGTATGGTCAATTAAGGAACGAACAACACAAGCGTTTTAAAAAGTTACAATATAAAAGAAAAAAATGAAAAAAATTACAAGAAAGTGGATTTGAAAACGAGTAAATGTAGAGAGAAAAGTAGTAAAAAAAGTACTTGTGAACACTTATTGGTGAAACACAGTGAGTCTTTACAAAAAAAATTACAAGAGGTACATAAATATAAATAAATAAATATATTTAATCGTGAAAAAGATGCAAAGAAAAGCGACTTGAAGACAATTATTTTTTTGAGCCGCACCAAATACGATTATAGTATATTTTTTCATTTAATTGGAAGATTACCGATAAGTAATTGTTGTTTTTACTCGAAGGATAAAGTTTTACGGGAATCGCTTGGAACTTGAGGAGATTAAAAATTCGAAAATAATCGATGAAAAACGATGAGATGAAATGATACATTTTGAGTGGTATGTTACTAAATGTTTTTATCCGAGGTTTATTTATGTCGTGATAATAATGATGATCATGTGGAATTTGTAGTTATTTTCTTTCCTGTTTTTTGTTTTGTTTATTTTTTATGTAATGGTAAAATAACACTTAAAGTCTATCATAGAAGAATTTAAAGAATAATCTTTGTATTTATTTTCTTTTTGTTTTTTTTTTTTTTTTATTTTAAATTAGTAAAGTAAAAATTTGCAAAATTGCGATTAAAACTATTATTACATAAATGTATAATAATGTTTGTACTAAATGTAAAGAAAGTAAAGGAAGAAAAAAGTGGGTAAATATTATTAAAAAATTAAATCACAATTTTGCACTTTTTTTGAGTTATTAAAAATTATAATAAAAAAAAAAACTATTGTAAAATGGAAAGTAGCACAAAGTTTATACTTCCCCTTTACGCAGTGTAAAGAATAAGTCTGTACAGAAATTGGAATATTTTATAAGGTTTTTATTCCATACCGTTCTTTGTTCACCAATTTAGCGTTCCTCGATAGTTTTTATTGCCTTGTATAAATTCACTTACACTTATTTTTCGTTTTTATTTTCCCAATAAAAAAAATCTTAATGTTACCAACGTGAACAGCAATTTTAATAAATTATTTCCGTTTTCTTTTTATATATTTTTATAATAAGGATGTATTTGAATTTTTATAAATAAAAACTATCGGCGCGTAATACTTATTACAAAACAAAATAAAACAAACAAAATTGGCGACAAAGAAATGAAAAACCAGATCAGTAAATTATATTTAAAGAAAAAAAAATGAAAAAAAAAATACAAACGTTCTTGTGGACTTAAAAAAGCGTTAAAGTTAAGTATGTTAGGTAGTCAATAGCGTAGTATCGAATATATCTTAAAAGTAAAAAAAAACATGAGTGTAGTGTTATTGGAACGGATGCAACAGGTATACTTTGTATTGTTAAATACTTTGTATTGTTAAATCCACGTTTTTTGCTCGCTTTTATACAGAACAAACGTTTTATTTTGTATTACTATTAAGGTATTTGTAATAATTGATATAAAATAACCATAACCAATGCTTCCGTCGTGCTATATTTAAAAAAAAAGAGAAATATAAAAAGGAAACAAACAAGGAATATTTAATTTTATTTATTGTTTAAATTCTTTTCATCAATATTTATTTAACAGTACAAAGTTATCGAGATGGGGTTAATTCTTTCTTAATTCTCAATAATTAATTTATCCGGATCCATTATAATAATTTTATTTTGTTTCTCATAATTGATTCAATGTGATTAATGCTTCGTATTGCGATGATTTTCTTTGTGAATAAGTTTTGACAAATTAATTATTATTTTTTTAACTTATACCGACACAAAAAGTGGTGTAACTGAGTAATTGATTCTTGTAGAAACTAATGATGAAAAATGTAGAAAGTGAAAGCAACAATATATATCATACAAATTGTATATATATTTTACTAGCGATTTATATGTATGTTCGCTCAAAAAGAAAAAAAAATCCTATTGCATAACGATACAATTTCACAATCATCACCAAAAAAAAAAAAAATATATAGTTAAAACAATAAAAACAACTACTAATAAATTAGGAAGAGATTATTGAAAAACGAGCGAATATATTCATAAATAAAAAAGGAATAAACAAGAAAATAAAAGTGACTATAACGTTTATTCTTCGTCCTTGAAAATTATACAAATGTCCCTGAAGAACACGACTACATAACAAGATGACGATGAGAACTGTACGAAGAGAGATTCATTGACATGTAAAATTGTATAACTTTTACTGGACGCATTGGTTAAATTGATCATATTTTAAAATGGCAGCCTTACCGTATTTTTTATACAACTCGTCTCCCTTTACACAGAATTACCATGGTCATATACGTTTTTTCTACAGTTCTGTTTTCTCTTATAATCATGTTTTTTAAGATGAAACAAAAAATTGTAAAATAAAAAAAATTGTATTCGTTATATTTAGGTAATAAATATAAGTAAAACAAATTAAGTTATTTTCTTTTTGATATTAATTGTTTATATTTTTATAGCATTAATTCCCAGATAATTTAGTTTGTTATTAGAAATTAATCTGAAATATAGAATGACATAAGTGAAATTAAATTTATGTATTTAATATTATTTTATATTTTAAGTAAACAATTATTTCAGACCAGATTCCGAATGTATTTGAATTTCAAATTATAAACTTCTTGATTAAGAAAATATTAATTTATAAAGCCTATTTATTAATTCTGTGATGCTTATAAGTATTTGTGATAAAGGATGGGATGAGTCAAAGAGAAAGGTAATAGAAACAAAATCTAATATTATCTCAGTATATTTCAATTTTAGTAAATTCCCGTCATTGTAGTGTAATTAAAACCTCAAAGATAATAATAATATATGTTTATTGATGATGCAACAAAAGTATTTAGATACAAAAATATATATAAATAAAATCATGAACACTGCAAAATTATCAACAAAAACGACAGGACCTAATAACAGCGCATCATCAAAAAGAGCCAAGTCAATGCAGACATTTTCAGCAGACAGTTTTCCATGGGCCCTTTTATAGTAGAAATAATAATTAAATTGATTTCGAACGAGATAGCACTAACTACCGTCTTTTTCCGAAAATAAGACACTGTCTTACTTTCTTTTTTGGTCCAAAAGACGCGCTAGGGCTTATTTTCGGGGGAGGGCAAAAATAAAAGTATATTAACCGTATTTTCTCGAATGTAATCTGCACCTTTTTTACAAATTTTATGTACTCTAAAATCAAATGCGGATTACAATCGGGTGCGGATTAGATTCGCAGTCATATAGTTGCAATTTGGAAAATAGTAAAATAGAATCACATTATAACAATAACACTTTATTAAGGGTTGGTTCTTCCTATATTACGTCATCTTCGGATCAATACAGATAAATTCGGATTATACAAAACTTCTTAAATGATGTTATAATATTGTTTTCAGGGATCGTTTTCCATGTCGCCTACACTCACTGAACAAGTTCAGAAGCTCCTTTAATTGCTCCCGGTTTTGTTAATTCTCTAGTTTGTTAATATACATATACATACACAGGTTGTAGTATGGATGTTATTCCACCAGGTATTATTATTATGACAAGAAGTTTAAACCAAGAGCAATCAGTCTATGATTAATTAATATCCTTATTTAATAATCCTCCTGGTCTAAGACTCCATACTTGTCTTAATCAATCCATCATCAGCTTTTCCATTATCCATCCTTTTTGTTGTGCCCTAACTAGAACGTCATTCAGGAAGTCTTTCAGATTTCAGAATGGTTTTTTTCTCAATATTAATAATGTCGGCAATTTTTCCCTATCACTTGTTCCTGCTAGCATCAATGTTCTGCGCAATTTTTCGCAACCACTCGTTTATAAAGAAATTTCCCACACACCTCTTCTTTCCAGTGTGTAATTAGGTGGCATATCCAGATATACCACCACTTTGTTGACATTTACAGTTTGAGACAAATTAAAATTTTCTTGGAAATCATTAGGAGCTTTTGGGAAATTGTTCTGCGCCTCAACGATAACACCATTCGGCGCATAAATCCCACAGTCCAACCTTTGCTAGTATTAACAATTTTTTAGTGCCTCCTTTCGTTTTTCTTGAGAGAACTAGAAAACTGCCTCGTCAATTTCATGAAATCATCTCTTCTTTGGCCCGGTAAATTTTTTGCACGATGCCTCACAGTTTGCAATAGTCTTTCCGCAACAGCCGCAACGTTACTCTCATTAACAGCAAAAATTGTACCAGCTTTTCGATTTCCTTAACGCTAACTTAATAACATCTCTTTAAACTCTGCTGTATAGAAGAACCTTCTAGATTTTTGCTACTTTTTTTTTATAATTACGCTGTTATATGTATAATTAAGCACATACCACGTTCGAGCTACTACGAGGGCAGTATATGAACGGAATTCGTGCTAGGCATTACTATTTATTTTTTAAATTATATTTATTTTCCAATTTTTTCTGGCTTGGTAAATTTAAAGTCTAGTCTAATAAAAACTCGTCGTAAGCAAGGTTGCTTTAGGTGCATCAGCGTCAGTCAACAGAAAATATATATTTATGGTTAACAACAAGCATCGCATCGTTTTGGTGTTGTCGAATTGCTCAAAGAAAGATGCGGATTACATTCGCAAACTAAATTTTTTCACCACTATGCATTTTTAAAATCGGGGTGCGGATTAGATTCAAGTGCGGATAAGATTCGAGAAAATACGGTATATAAATATTTTTATTTAATATTTATTTTACACAGAATACAGAAATTTAAATTTATTCAATTACAGTCATGTCATCTTCTTCTGGAACATCATCATAAATAAAATTCTGAATTATATTCTGATTTTTTTCCAAATCCATTTCCTGTTCAATCATTGGTCCGAATCTCTCATGTCTTGCGATATAGCTATCGTTAAATGAATACTTCTTGTCTAAGTAGCCTGTTCGTAGTGCATTGGAAACATCATTATCAGTTATTCTGTTTTCAATATATTCATTGATTTCCATCCGCAAATGATCCTTGAATGGCTTGTTTATTGCAATGTCAAGTGTCTGGAGGTAACCAGTCATTCCTGCCGGATCATTATTTGATCAATCTTCCTCTCAGCAAGAAAGTTTTTGATGTCTTTAGCGCGATGAGTACTGGCTGAATCCCAAACTAGTAAACCTCTATTCTGACCCCTCAACAGTGGTGGCAGCATAAAATCAACCCACTTTCTTATAAGTGCTTGGGTGCACCAGGCTTTTTCACTTTCAATGACATAAATTCCTGAAACACGTTGAATCTGTTTTTTTTTACCTTTAGTGATTAAAAATGGCGATACTTTCTTGTCATCTAGACGAATCGCCAAAATACAGGTAACACGTGCACTATCGTAACCGGTAGAAGGAACGTAAATTGACGAAGAAGCCTTGTGGTGAACTGTCGTTTGAGCTCCTTGGCCTAGGAATACCGCGATCTCATCAATAGCAATCATGTTGGAGAGTTGGTATTTCGAAAAATCGATGCTTCATTATCTTCCAGCTTAAACAATGTTGTTGATCTCCTTAGAGACAGTTCATATCGTTTAAGGAAGATGTCCAACCAATGTGACGATGCTTTAAATTCTTCTGTGGAAATATCAAATTCAATTGCTGTTTCAAGGGCAAATTTTTGAATATCAGCCATGCGCACAACCAAAGCCATTGCTCTCCTGCCTGCGATCCATTCCCAGATGCAATCTTCCAACTCAGAAAATAACGATTAACCAGATCCAACTCTGCGTTTTTTCTCATTTCCTTGGTCCACCAGTTAACACAGGTAATCGTAGTCTGCACGCCATTTACGAACCATACGGAAATCCAGCATCTTCTCTTTACAGAATGCTACAAGATGGACCCCTGGAGTCTTCCACGATTCCCTTTTTGTACTCGACGGAATAGCTCTTTCGTTTTGTACTCATTTTAACTGGGGTTAAAAATTAGTCACTTTATTTTTAAAGAAAATTCGTATGAGGAAATAATCAGACTTACAAGACTGAAATTATTTACGTTGAACGCCGTATAACCTCTGTTCCGTAGTGTGAACAGCGTGGACCTTCGATGGTGCGTACAAGTGCATTGTGCCTAGGGCTTGCAATACCGGACTAAAATCTCAATGCGGGTATTCGGTATTCAAAATTTTTAAAACCGAGATACCGGTATTGCTTTAAAAAAGTTTACTCACTAAATTACATATCTAATTGTAAGATTTTTTCCCCTCTGCGGCGTCACCGCTACTAACAACAGGTTAATTCCTAGTATATTTTTAGAGTGGCAACAAAGCATAAGATACAGAATCTGAGAAGATAATCAAAACATGGAAAGATATTAGGAATCTGTAGAAAGTACCAATAAACTTAAAGGTCTAGATACCATTATTGTTTTGATGTCTTTCACTTGGTCCAAAGGTTCAACTTCACTGCCACGTCAAAAAATGAAATTACACTTCATCATCAGAAGCTCTGTGGAATTCTTTCGAATTCCTGCTTTGGAATTTTCTGGAAAGGTGCAAATTAAAGAAATAAACTTTAACATAATGGCTCTTGGTAGTTTTTCAGACTTATCATACCACTATTATACTTGGTGGGACACTACACGAATCAAATTGACCTGAAACACCATTATGGAGTAAAAACTCCACATCCAAAAATAGTTGTATACAGAGGGTATTTTATTGTTGGCTAGGTATGACAAATTTATTGAACACGAACATTAAGTTGTCGTCATCAAAGGTTGAATCTTAACTATCTTCAACATTCTGTCAGAGTGCAAAATGATATTTCTTGTAGATGGTATTCACACTGATCAAAAAATGTCACTTGAAAAAATGAGATTAGTAAGGACATAAGATAGATAACAAATTTTTGTTTGGTCAACATCATTTTCCACCACAGCTTTAAACACGGCCGTTTTCAATCGGTCGCCTTCGGCTAGCATTTTTTAATGAAACGTCAAAAAATGTCACTTGAAAATGTAAACTTAGAACGGACAGAAGATAGATAACAAACAAGAATCTACTAGGAATCTAAACAAGAACTAGCACGGCCGTTTTCGAAGACATCGGCCGTCCCCTGGCCATCGAAGGCGCTAATTAAAGATAATACCGAAATACCGGTATTTTTCCATCGATACCGGTTTTTAATACCGGACAAAAATTGTCCGGGATTCCGGTTTTCAGGATCCCGGTATTGCAAGCTCTAATTGCGCCTCTCTGTCAGGGTTTTTACTTATATACCGCTCGGGGAAATCCCTTATTTTGTACTTTAAAGCACATTCAATATATCGTGTGTTTTAGAAGAAAAATTGTACAATTGGTTTCTTAACGAAAGAGAAAAGAATTCACGAAAAGAAAGCTAAACATGTTATTACTTATTCTTAATAAATCAACAGCATTTTTTAACGAATTCTTTTTGTCACATTATTTAAACTAGGGCTTCTTTTGGGAGGATGTCTTATTTTACAAAAAGTTCCGAAAATCACGATAGGGCTTATTTTCGGAAAAAGACGGTATATAAAAAAAATTGTAATAACAAGAATAAGCACATACATGAATTAAGAAAAATAAGGAATAATAAAAAAAAATACAACAAAATTAAAGAAAAAATATAGCAAAATTAAAGAAAAGCTTGAACAAGCTGCCGCAAATAATCTCCCTCTACCCTGTTAGGTCATACAATCCAGAAATATAAAAAAGTGAAAATTACCTAGTCCAAGTCCTATTTGCATCATACGTCTAAGATACGACACTTAGATCCACCAAGAAATTCTACAATAGAAAAAAATAGATGAACCTACAATTTCGGACCAGTGTCGTGTTCTAGATGTTAATATAAAGGCCCTTACAGACGGATGTATATGACCGCCTTGATGTATGCGCATTTAAAAACGTACATACAAAAACGTTAATGTGTATGCAGAAGAACGTCACATGTTTGAGTGCACACTCAAATAGAACGACGCACAAAATTTCTGTCGTGATTCGCTCTCAAGTCTCAACGTGTGGATGTAAATTGTACGACGTTCATCAGTAGCGTCCAGTGTCCAGGTAAGTTCCATGTTTATGAAATTTGATTCGCAAATTTCTTGTTTTGTAGAATGTCTGATTGTAGAACACTATCTCGTGATTTTCTGCGTGAATTCCTTGAAATGTACAGGGAACTGCCCTGTCTGTGGCATGTAAAACCCAAAGCATATTTGGATAAAAATAAAAAAAACGACGCCTACAAAATGCTGGTCAAGAAGCTACAGGTTGTTCAGCCAAACGCGACCAAAGCTTTCGTTATTACAAAAATAAACAGTCTTCGAGGAGGTTTTCGCAGGGAACATAAGAAGGTTCTGAAGTTTATGTACCTTCACCGTGGTACTATGACCTTCTTCTGTTTCTTCGAGACCAGGACAAACCTAGAAAGTCGACTTCGAACATCCCTAAGTAGTGATGACGAGGACAACAATGTGGTAGCAGATGAAAGTAATGAACCGGAAGAGGAAGGTGATAGTGTTGCTGAGAATGAGAGACAGGTAAGAAAGAAATGAAAAGTAGACGTTGTTTACTTTATTAATGAACCCTTAATTGTTGAAAATAATAATTTAATGACGTACACAGACTGTTGCTGTCACTATATCATTCGCTCTTGCCATGATACAGCTCCTTCTTCATTAAAATTCCTTTTCTGTTGTAGGGAACTGAAAATGATACATGTTGGTTATAAATTGTTTTGTTGTTACAGACAAACGATGAAAGTCATTTGGATGTGGATTTGCTTTCACCTCCATCTACAAGTACTAGTGACAGCACTCGACCTTCATCAGTACTACCAAATAAAGCAATGCATCATTCATCGGCCAAAAGGAGATTTAAGAAAAGAAATTCTACCTCAGTTGTAGACAAAGCTGATCAAATTTTGAATGTTGTTAGTGCAAAATTGAATGATCCTGGCGACGACGAGTTTTCGATTGTAGGGAAAAATGTTGCTGCGAATCTTCGCAAATTGCCAGCAAAGACCAAGTTTTATATGGACTGGATTTATAATGACCTATTATTCCAAGCAGAACTTGGAAAAATTTCCGAAAATACGAAAATTATAACAGAAATCATACAGCCAACAGGATGCAGCAACACCTGTAACCATCACGATTTGAACCAATTAGCAACAAATAACTTAACTTATCAAAATAGCCAATGAAAATTTCTAAATTTTTATTATATAGTTCAAATTTTCATTATCTTTTCACTTTAATTTATTTTTTAATAATTAACCCTTTAAAATTTAACTTGTAATATTTTCAATTTTGTTAGAATATTTTCAATTTTCTCTTTCTTTCTCTCTGCGACATTTTGACTGAAGATTTTTGTTACCATTCCAATGTACGTACATCTTACGCCAGTTTGCCCCTAAATTTACGACGTCGTGCCTGAAGATTGTAGCACTGAAATTTAGCAATAAATTTTCATCATAATAATATTACATTTTTTCAATTTTTAACTTATCATATATTATACAACAAGACGATCGAAAATACTCGATAATACGAGACGTATTGCCTGAAATACCACGAGACCAAAGGTCGAGTGGTGTTTTTTAAGGCAATACGTCGAGATTCGAGTATTTTCGATTGTCGCGTTGTATATGGCTAGACTATTTCATGAATAAAAAATATACATATTTTTAGAATTTTAATATTTTTTTAAAAAATCATATTGATTGTTATGGAAACATTCATGGATGTCACGAAATCAATGAAATGTCAAACAAGCGATAATACAAAGGTTCGTATTACAGCGATAATACAAAGGTTCGTATTATCGTTCTCCATGGTTACGGCCAAATAACCGCTGAAATACTCGCAATTGACGGAAAACCGCGAATTCTTATTGGCTGTTAACGTTATGAATGAAATAGTCAGTTTCATTTTGAATCTTCAGTTGAGCAAAATACGACTGCAACGGGTTTTTTTTTAATACCCAATCATGCTTCTGTTATTTTCTAAAATAAATGTTTTTCTGACTTTCATGTATTCTTTATTGTAATAAATTATTGGAATTATTATGGAATTATTGTACATAAGGATTGTGCAGATATTGCAGTGGTAAATTTCAAATCTTGGTAGTTTCGTCCAGTCGCTAAATATCTTAGGGTTGCAGTTAATAATTCGTGTAAAATCCTTGATTATTACTTGAGAATTTGTTGAAATAAAACATATTTGAAGATGATGGTTTATTCCGTTCTTCATCTAATGCCACAGAGATCACATCTTTTAAATGATTTGCAATTTCTTGACTTTAATATCGTTCGTAAATCATTGTTTCTAACACCATTACAAAAAGAATTAATTGCTATTTTTTCATTTACTCCACGTAAAGCTATTAAAAGATTGTCATCATCTCCCGCCTGTGATAATGTTAAATCACTCAGCAATTGTTCGATTTCCTGACCAAATTCAATTACCGATTTATATAGTAGTCGAACTTGATGAAGTTGCATCGACAGTGTTAGCGGATTTTTCGTTACATAATTATCGCGAATATTTTTTATAAGCGCATTTGCTGATGTATATTGTTTATTTAGCCGAATTTTAGCGTTCTCGATAGTCTAGTTTTTAGTACATAGATACGTTATTAAAAATTTTTGGTCATCAGCTTGTAATAATTCAGAGTACAGTTCTATTGAATCTAATAGTTTTTTAGTAGTATCTTCACTACCATCCATAACAGGCAACAAACTACCCGCTGTTTTTAAATCAAATTTTTCCCCCATTTTTATATCTATTTTTAACCTATCTTTAAGAATATTACGAGATTCTATAATAATATTATCTATTTTATTAACACACTCTTTTATTTTATTTAAAACGTCTAAATTTGAAAAATTCTTGTTTCTAATTTTAATAAACCTAACCTATCTGAAAATTTATCTATGCTAATCTTTTATGAGATAATTCTAAGTTTTTTCTCCTTTCTTGATTATCTTTAATTGTATTTGTTTTATTTACCTTAGGTTCTTCCAAAACTTTTTTAAATTTATCCACTGTCTCCATGAAGCACTTTAGGTACGCACTTATTTATTGTTAAACATTTTCGCGCATAGACACTAATTCTTGGCTCCTAGAAACTTCCAGTCGAATTCTCTTCTCTAACTTCTTCATACACCGACGCCAAATGTATATACCCACGAAAATCAGGATAACAATTATAATTACTGTATAACCAATGTCCGATGTGGTGAACTATTTATACAGTCCAGACGTTGCTAATCCAGAATTTCCCGCTTGACTTATTATTATTTCTTTAGACTGATTGTATCCCATTTTGATGAATTTATTCTTTTTTCTTTTCTTAAATTTTATATTTAGACACTTTATTCATTTTTATTGTATGTCCTCAAGTCGTAATTGCACGCATCGATATTACATAAATTTACATTACAGGGTTCGTTCCATTCCATTCCGATTCATTCTGTTCTGCGATAGTGTGCGGCCTGTTTTGACTTTGTATAAGACTTCCGGCTAAACCCGAAAGTTTCTAATTCTAGCGTTAGTTCTAGTGATAGTACTATTAAAATTATGCGTGATATGTTTTAACAGTTTAACAAACCTTTTTATTATCTTTATAAATGTATTGACCATTAATAATAATATTCATTTGTTTTTTATATTATATATAACTACTCATAAAGCATTAATGCACTCTTGATTGGGATTGCTTTATGATAAAATATAACATTTCAACACTCCCCCTCAAGGCCAATCATAGTTATAAACTTTTCTAATTTTGGTTTTGGAAACGGCTTTGTTAGCACGTCGGCAATCATTTCTTCTGTTTGACAATATTTTAAATTGATAACGTTATCTTCCAAAGCTTTTCTTATGAAATGATATTTTATATCTATGTGTTTAGTCCTACTATGATAAACGTTGTTTTTTGCCAACTTTTGACAACTTTGATTATCATTGTAAAGGACGATTGGTTTTTTTGAATTGAATTTTAATTCCGATAAGAATTTTTTTTCATACAGTGCTTCTTTAGCTGCTTCAGTAATGTTCATGTATTCGGCTTCTGTGCTTGATAAATCAACGGTCCTTTGTTTTTTAGTTTCCCACGAGATTGCTGCGTTTGCCATTTTAAACAGATAACCAGTATAGTAGCGCCGATCTATAGATGACCCCCAATCTGCATCTGTATAACATTCCATTTCTTTCCCTGAAGTTCTATAAGTTAGTTCCAAATTTATTGTTCCTTTTCAATACCTTAACACTCTTTTTGCGGCAATCCAATGACTCTCGTTGTAATTTGTGTTAAATTGACTTAAGAAATTAACGTTAAATGTAATATCTGGTCTTGTACCAATTGATGCATACATTAAACTTCCGATCAGACTTTGATATGGATACTTTTTCATTATTTCTTCGTTTTTTACTTCAAGTTTTTGTAATTTTGCATTTGGGTCCATTGGTGTACTGACTGGTTTTGAGTTTTCCATACCAAATCGCTGTAGAATATCTTATATATACTTCGTTTGTGAAATTTTGATCGTTGTCTCCCCCTCGATTTGGCTATGTGAGATTTCTAAACCAATACAGTAGTGTATTTTTTCCAAGTCTTTCATTTCAAAACATTGAGATAATTTCCTTTTGAAATGTTCAATTTTTTCAACGTTTTTGCAGGCTATTATTATATATATATATATTATTTTAATAGCTTGTCGCTGAAGATGGGAATAATTTCCTGAAACATGTACGACTGTATACAGTCGTACATGTACAGTCGTACTTGCTTTATTTAAATATATATATTTAAATAAAGCAAGTAGAAGTTATTTTATTATTTATTATTATTATATCGTCCACGTAGATTGCGACGAGAAGTGGTTCCTCTTCATTTGATGTATAAATACATTGATCAGCATTGATTGGTTTTATTCCAATTTCTTTTAATTTGTTATCTAATTTTTTATACCATTGTAGTCCGGCTTGTTTTAAACCATATAATGCCTTTTTTAATTTACATACTTTATTTCCATTTTCCATTTCTTTTAACATTTTCTTGCTGTCTCTTAAAATATCTTCATTGATTTCTTTAATTTCTATTATTTCTTCTAAGGTTTCTTTAAATAAATCTGGTGTTTTCATATAAATTTCTTCACTAATTTCTAATATATGTTCTACAGCTATAGCAATTAATTTTCTTATAGAGCTTAACCTTGTTACTGGTGAAAAGGTTTCATGAAAATCAATTCCTTCCTGCTGCGTGAAGCCTTTTACTACTATTCTAGCTTTGCATTTTTCTAAAGAACCGTCTTGATTTAATTTTTTCTTTAGTATTACTTTGCATCCGATTATGTTTTTACTTTTTAGGTTTTCAACCAATTCCCACGTCTTGTTCTTGATCAGAGCTGTTATTTCATTTCTTATTGCTTTTTTCCATTCTTCTTCATCTTCTTTTAAAGAAATGTCTCCAATATTTGCTTCCAAATTTGTATCGTCGTACGTAGTAGTCGTTATTTAACACATTTATCTTATCTTGGTTTTTAATATTTATTATTTCATCTGGTTCATTTTCTATCTTCAATTTGTTAATTTTTCTAGGTCTACCTTTTTTACCAGTTTTTTCTAATTTAGGTCTGCCTCTTTCTCTTTTCAATTTAATTTCTTTTTCTATTTTTTTCTTGATTTATATTTTCACTAATGATTGGGAATTTTACCAATATTTCCTGCGTTTGTTTCTTTTCTTGTTTTAACAAAAAAATCTTCAATATTTACAATTTCTTTTTTTAAAAATTTTACGTCTCTACTAAATATCTTTTATTTGGAATATAAATTCTATATGCTTTCGCTGTGTCGTACGGATCTGGGTTTAAATTTGTTTTTATTTGGAGCTTTGTTTAGAACATATACAGGACTTCCGAAAATTTGTAGGTGTTTTAAATTTAGTTTTAAATTAGTCTACTTTTCATAAGGAATTTCTCCATTAATTCCATTTGAAGGACATCGATTTCTTATGTAATTTGCTGCGTAGATTGCTTCTGCCCAAAATGATGGTGGTAAGTTCGATTGAAGTAAATTACATCTTGCAGTTTCTACTAGCGATCTAATTTTTCTTTCTGCTATTCCGTTCTGTTGGGGATTGTACGGAACTGTTAATCTTCGTTTAATACCATGTTTCTCCAGGAATTCACCGAATTTTTTATTACAATACTCAGTACCGTTATCAGATTGTAAATGGTTAATTTTATAACATTTAGTATTATTTTCGACTT